TGCGGTACTCCCTCCTCGAGCAACCAGCGGTGTGGCAATCGGGGGGGCGGAAGCGGCTAGGGTCAGACCTAAACGGGAGCGGCTGGGAGTCAGAATCGCGGTCCTCGTCACGAGCTGCATGGCCAGACTCACGAGGCGCGGGATCGAGACCAACAGCTCGAGCAGCAGGTCCCTGCGCGGCCGCCTGGCGAGCATCACCGGGATCCGCAGGCACCCGAGGGAGGAGGAGCACACCTGATTGCAGTTTAGCATCGAGCCGTTCACGACGGCGCACAAAAGGTTGAGAAGGCGTTCGCAACGCCCGCGTCGCACAGAGGCGCCTCCAAGCCTCAGGGTGCGGCTGCTCAGGACCATCGACTGAATCGCGAGCCGCTTCACCACGAGCAGGCGGTGCATCTGGGCGAACGGCTTCATCAGAAACCGCTCTTTCACGGAGCGCTTCATCACAAGCCCCTTCATCAGGAGGGACTTTAGGACGAACAGCTGCACCTCGAAGCGGGAGTTCGGCACGAACAAGTTGCTCAGGACGAAGGGCTTCATCAGGTCGAACGGCTTCGTCACCAAAAACCTCATCTCGACCAGCTGTTCAGGAACATATTCGCGAACCAGGTCTTCATCCCGTGCTCCGTCAAACACCCGATCCAGAACTTGCGCACGACGGTCCGCATCACCACGAACTGGCCGTGCAGCAGGGCGACCGGCTTCACCACGAACAGCGCCCTCACGAAGCGCTTCATCACAAGCCCTTTTATCAGGAGGGACGTCAGCGTTCCGCAACGGCTCGGGATGAGCCACGCGATTGGCAGCCACCTGAAAGTCCACGTCCACGCTCTCGCAATTCGCGGACTCCGTCACGCTCGACATCTGCACAGCAGGGGACTGGATCAGCGCGCACGCCTGCGCCGTGGCTGCCTCCAACAGCGACCAGACGGGCGAGGCGTCAGGCAGCGGCCAAACCGTGGTGCCGCAGATGCAGCGCACGCCCACCGCGCGGCAGGCAGCCCGCGGTACGAACGGCATGGCCTCAGCCCGCATGCCACCAGCAGTGCGCCTCAGCCAGAGGCCCAGCAGCAGTCCGGAACAGGTCCGCCGATGACGCGGCCGTGGACACGCCATGAGGCTTTCGGCGCGCATGCCAGGCAGCGTTCCGCCTGAGCCGCATCGCGCCAGGAACACGACCTCCTGCTGCAGTGCTCTGCAGAGCCGGCCTCGACGCGCGCCCGCGGTCCACCCACGAGCCCGGGGCGCCGCGTGCCGCCACCGGCGGCCGCAGCGCTGCTTCAGAGCAGCGCGACCGCGCTGCCGAGCAGCACGCCTCGCCGCGGAGGCGCCGAGGGAGGCCTTCTCCATGATCCTCAACACACTGGGTCGCCACATGGGCGGGCAGCCCCCCGCAGCCATTCAAGGCGCGCCCGCCGCCGCCGCCGCCGCCGAGCCGTCGACCATGGGCGAAAAGGCAGCGGAGAAAGCGGGGAACACGGCTTGAGCCAAGACGGCCACGCGAGGAGGAGGAGGCGGAGGAGAAGGAGGAGGATGGATGGATGGAGCATCATCAAAGAGGCACTGGCGGCCGTCTGCACGCAGACGACCGCCAGGGCCCCAGATGTCGATTGGTTCCCGCGCCGCCGCGAGCACGCCGCACGGACGCCGAGGCGACGAGGGAAGGGCCCCGAAGAAGCCCAGACAGGCATCCGTCACGACCCTGGCCTACTCCGAGGGCAAGCCAGGGGAACGGAAACCATGCCCGCGGGGACAACCGGGCAACCAGATGGCCACCAGAGGCCGCCCCAGGGAGGGGACTCGGGTTCGCGCGACAGTCCGCGGCGCACCCCCCTCCATAAGAGAAAACACGCCGAGGGGGCCGCCAGCCAGGAATTCGAGGCAGAACCAGCGAGAGGCCAGCCACTCAGGGGTCGCCGACCCCGCCCTCCACCCGGAAGAGGTACACGCCCTTCAGGAAGTAGGCCAGCCTGAAGGCGGGCGCAACCCATGCAGTCGTGCACGGACTCGAGGGCGATGCCCTCGGCCTCGCTCTGGAGGACGACGTCCTCCAAGCTCACGCCGCCGTCGGGGTGCCCGATCGTCGGCTCGCCATTCGCAGACTCCGAATCGCTCATCGCGCGGCTGCGCTCGAACAGCCTGAAGAAGAACTGCTCGACGACGAGGCGGCTCGGGCTGCTGAAGACCCAGCTCTCCGCATCCTCGGCCAAGGCCCAATCCACGACGCACCCGAGACCGTCGTGCCTCTAGACATCGGGCCCCTCGCCATCAAGCGCGAAGACCGACCAGGCGAACCTGGCCTGCCACACGATCGGCATGCGCAGCCCCACGCTGAAGATGGGGGACGGGAAAAGCAGCGGGGCGCGCGCCCAGCCGCCGCCCAGTCGCCGCGTCCAGCCGCGGTCGCCTGCTCTCTCAGAGCCTTCCTCAGTGGGGGGGGCCCATCAGAGGGGAGCTGCCCGCAGCCACCACCGCCTGCTGCTTCAGGGGCGTGCCCCTCAAAGACTCGGGCCGCCCTGGCGATGGACTCCTCGGCGGCAGCGAGCGATCAGAACTCGGCATCGGCGGCAGAGACACCCTCGACGGGTGTGCACCGATGGTTCGTCCCGCAACCCTTCAGCTCCTCGTCAGGACCGCCGCGAAGCCATTTGTGTGCGATGTCTGACCGAGCACGCCACCAGCCTGGGCTCGACCGCGCACGGCTCTCTGCCTGGGCTCGACCGCGCACGGCTCTCTGCCCGACATGTAATAGGGGACCCTCACGCCCGAGAAGACCACCGCCCCGCACGTGCTTCCCAGGCCGAACTTCCCCGTGAGGTGGTCCGCTGCCGGGCTGAAGGACGGCGCATCCGACGACGAGATCGTAGCCGCCTTTCCATCTTCCGACCGGCACGCTAGGCTCGGGACACAGACTGGCGCGTTCGCAGGCATTTGGAAGCCCCGCGCCTGCCGCGCCTCCAAGCGAGCCCCACCTTGGACACCACGTAGTTCACGGCCGCTTGCATGCATGAGATCGACACCCTGGGCATCGGCGTGTAGGGCAACGCCACGACGAATCCGATCAAATCCACTTGTGCGGGCGGCCCGACACGTGGTCCGTCAGCGCGGGCAGCAGTGCGCACACCCGCGTAGCCACCTCCGCATTGCCGACCATGACCTCGATGCCCCGTTCTGCCACATCCACCCGCTTCTTCAGCGCCTCGACCTCCTTCGTGAGGCGCTTCACCAGCCTGTCCACAACGTCCCGCGCCGCGGCGGCGCCCCGCAGGGCACCCCGCGCCATCGCCGAGTGCCCTCCGAGCACGGGCTGAGCCAAAGCAGCCGCAGCACTACGGACGAGCCACTCGCGGCCTTGAGCCAAATAGCTACGGAGGAGGCGGAGGAGGAGGAGGAGGAGGAGGAGGAGGAGGAGGAGGATGAGTAGGAGAAGGAGGATGAGGAGGAGGAAGAGGAGGACGAGGACGACGAGGAGGACGAGGAAGAGGAGGAGGACGAGGAGGGCGATCCTCAATCTTCTCCCGAGGGCCGGACGCCCGTCGCCACCGCCCGCAGGGCCAGCCCGCGCCCGCGGCTCTGCCCTGGCTGCCGCTGCTGCCGCCCCAGGGCCCGCCCGCGCCCGCGGCTCCGCGCCCGAGGTCCGCCATCGCCGTGGCCGCCGTTGCCGCTGCCGCCGCCGCCAGCGCCGCCGCCGCCATCGTCGTCGCCATCGTCGTCGTCGTCGTCGTCGTCGTCGTCGTTTATATGTGGGATGACATTCAAGGGTACTGTTCTTGTCACTCGGGTCTGAGCTCGCACTCAGGAGCCCCGCTCACTTGAATTCGGTGAATTCCCCCACCTCCTCCACTCCTCGTCTGCTTCGTTCTACCCTTGCTCCTCGTCGTCGTCGTCGTCGTCGTCGTCGTCGTCGTCGCCTGTGTCGTCGTCGTCGTCGTCGTCGTCGTCGTCGTCGTCGTCGTCGTCGTCGTCGTCGCCGCCTTTGCCGTCGTCGTCGTCGTCGTCGTCGTCGTCGTCGTCGTCGTCGTCGTCGTCTTCGTCGTCCCTCTCCTGCTCGTCCTCATCGCCCTCTTCCAGCCTTTCCTCTCCCCACGGTGCCACCCCCTCCCCCACCTCTCCCCTCCGCCCACTCCTTCCCCAGGTCCTCCCCCTCGCCCTCCGTCCCTCCCCCCCCCCCCCCATCAGAGGGCAGCGGCCGCCATCCGTCCATCCCTTCTTCCCCACCTCTCCCCTGCCCCTCCTCCCCCCCTTTTTCCCACCGCTGGGACCAGTCCGGCTGGACCCCCCGTTTTGATCCAGCTGGGACACGGGATCCCAAAATTGTTTGGAGATTGGCAGGCCTGCCTTTGCGCAGCCTTGGCTGCAAGGACAGACCAGGATGAACTTGCTCTTGGGCACTTGTGCTAACCAGGACATTCCGCCTCCGAAAGGCGCATCGTCATCATCTTCATCATCGTCGTCGTCGTCGTCGTCGTCCTCGTCATCATCACCATCATCATCATCATCATCATCATCATCATCATCATCATCATCATCATCAATCATCATCAGCATCATCATCATCATGATCATCGTCATCATCATCATCATCATTATCATCATCATCGTCATCATCATTATCATCATCATCGTCATCGTCATCGTCATCGTCATCGTCGTCGGCGTCATCGTCGTCGGCGTCATCGTCGTCGTGATGATCATCGCCACCATCATCATCAGCATCACCACCATCATCACCATCATCATCAGCATCATCATCAGCATCGTCATCCTCCTCCTCCTCCTCCTCCTCCCCCTCCTCCTCCTCCTCCTCCTCCTCCTCCTCCTCCTCCTCATCATCATCACCATCATCATCATCATCCTCATCCTCGTCATCATCATCTCTCCCCTCTCCGCCTCCCGCCCTTCCTCCCCCCTGCCGCGGAGCGGCCCCGCAGCGGCTCTCGCCCCGAGCGCCCGAGCAGGGAAGCGCTCCGCCCAGCAGCATCAGAGGCCGCGCCGACGCCATGGGCAACGCCTGCGCCTCCGCCGCCGCCGATGGCGCCTGGGAGCTGACGCCGCCGCCGGCCCCGCCGGGCGAGGGCGCGGACCGCCTGGGCCCGCAGCCGGCCCCGGCCCTCCCAGCGCTCCTTGCGGCCGCTCCGCCGCCGAGCCCGAAGTCCGACGCCGGCGCGCCGCTGGGCCGCTGCGCGACGCTGCCGGTGCCGCCGCACAGGAGCGCGGGCGAGGGCAGCCCGCTGCTGAGGCCCGCCGCCAAGGGCGCCCGCCACAGCACCAGCTTCGTGGGCGGCGGCAGCGGTCGGGGCTCAAGGGGCGGGGGTCGATGCAAGCGGGGGTCAGCCGGGGCGCCGCATCTTGCAGGATCCTGCAGGGCCAGGGCTGCACCGACCCAGGCTCGGGTGCAGGGTCCTGCAGGATCTTGCAGGGTCCTGCGACGCCTGCCTGACTGACCCGGGTCTGGATTAACCCGGGTCAGTAGATCCCCGAGGCGGCTTGGACTCCGCCGAGGCGGTGGCGGAGCTCGTGGCAGAGCTGAAGCAGGACTGGGACGAGGAGCACATTAACACACCGATGCCGCTACCCTTTTTCCCTCGTCGCCACGGCCAGATTCGCCGCGAAAGTCCAGCCAGAGCCCACCCCTGGAGAGGCCCAGGGAGCAGCGGTATCGGTGTGCCTTCTGTCCCCCCAAGGACTGGCTGGCGGGCCAGCAGGCGCTTGACCGGGAGCGCAGGCGCCAAGAGCTCGGAGAGCTGCTGGCCGCCTCCAGGAAGCTCGCGCGCGGGGAGGTCAAGCCGCCGGACGCGAGCCGGACCGCGAACCGCTACGGCGTGTGTGGGGAGCTCCCGCCCTTCGAGTCGGCGAGGCATGGGCACCACCCAGACATGCCCACGCAAGGACGACGCGCACGCTCGGAAAACCAGCAGCAGAAGCTCCGTGGCGGGCGCGTTCTGGCCAGACCGCTCGGGTAACGATGTGTTCGGGCCGCACGCGGGTCCCCAACACGGAGACACGCAGTACCAGTAATACAGTCAGGGCGCTGAAGTAAGGGCCACGCTCGGGCCGTTTCCTACAGATCCAGAGCGCGGAACCCTAGCTATTCGTGGCCGAGGCTCGCCGTGGCCAGGCACGCCCCCTCGTGCCTGCTTCCGCGCTCCTTCTGGCAGCCACGGCGGCTGCATGTCCTCCTGCGCCCCCAGGCACGTGCCAGTCCTCGCCCTGATCAACCCGAGGAGCGGGGCCGGGGCCGGCTCGGACATCCTGGACGTGGCCCGCCGGTCGCCGTACTACCGGGACCGCTTCTTCGACATCATCGCCCTGTACCGGAGGCGCGAGCGGGGTGGCGTCCTGGACGTGTTTCGCGAGGAGCTGAACGCCGCCAAGGATCGGGGAAGCGCAAGACTCGGCTTCGCCGGAGCTCCGAGCCCGTCCCGGATTTTTGGGCGGTGCCGGGCCTGTGGGAGGCTTGCAGCGGGAGCCCGCGCCAGATTCCAGGCGGGGCCTTCTCATTTGCCTGGCGGCCCCGTCGGGCCGACCCGAGCCCCCCGAGCCCGAGCGTCTCCCCGCAAGGAGGAGGCTAGGGCGCTGGGGGTGCGCCCGCGCCTCATCTCCGGCGGCGGCGACGGCACCGCGTCGTTCGCGCTGTGCGTGGTCTTCGCGGCGCTCGCGGCCGACGAGTCGCGGGCGGACGAGGGCCTCGCCGACGCCGGGAACGGCTTCATCTTACCAGCCTCGAGCGTATCCCTATCCCTACGATTGACACGCCAAAAGGCGATGACAATCCTAGGGATCCGCCCTCAAAAAGTAAGGGAATCCCTAAGATTGGCATCGTGATGAGGAGATGCCCAGCATAGGGATAGGGATATGTTCCAGGCTGGTAATCATCTGGACGGACGACGACCTGGAGCGGTTCTTCCCCGCCCTCGCGCAGATGCCCCTGGGCACCGCCAACGACTTCGGGCACATCCTCGGCTGGGGGCAGAAGTACCCTGGCGACGGGAGGCGCGGCGAGTCGGCCATGCTGTGCCTGCAGGCCTGGGTCGAGTCGGTGATCAGCCCCCGCTCGCAGGTCGTCAACTTCGACGTCTTCGGAATCATGCCCGAGGCCGGGAAGGAGCACTGCGACTTCAAGCTGTGCGAGCTCACTGGCAGGAAGGGCCGGGACCCGCGGGTCCAGCTGGACGGGCGCTCCCAGATGCTCATGACGGAGGCTGCGCTGCCGGTGCTCGCGGGCAGGAAGCACACATATCCGTGTCCACGGCCTCGCGGGCCGGGCCGCTGGGCCGCGCCCCCGCGGACACAGGGCGTTTTTTTTTTTTTTTTTTTGTTCTTCTTTTTTTTTCTCCCCCCCGCGGATGCCCTCTGCCGGATCCACGGGATCGCGCCCCGGCATCTGGACCGCGAGTGCGCGGGTCTGGCGGCGCCTGCTGCTCGTGAGGTGCCCTTCCTCGTGTGCCTCTACTTCTCCGCCGGCTTCGGCGCCGAGGTGGTGTCGCGGTTCCAGCTCAACCGCAAGGACCGGCCGTGGAAGAACCGGCTGGAGTACGTCAAGCAGGGCGCAGGCATCGTCACGCAGGCTCGGGCCGAGCGAAAGGGGGGGATAGGGAAGGGGGGGGGGTACGAAGTCTGCTGCATGCAGCTGGTTTCGGCCCCGCCGCCGGGCCCATTCCTCGATACATGGGCGCCTCCCGGCGCCGGGAGGCGCCAGGAAAATCAGCTGCGTGAGCTGATTCTCAAACCCCCCTTTGCTACCCCCCCCTTTCGCCCGGCCCGACAGGCCCGCCCGCCCCAGCTCGGCAACCGCATGGAAGGCGTGTCCGTGCGCTGCGAGGGCCAGGACTTCGGAGGAGGAAAGGGTGTCACCAAGACCTGATGCCGCTGCCCCTGCCTCGTTCTCGCTCTCTGCGGGGGCCTCCTGGGAGGCCCTCGTCGCCACGGCCGGATTCGCTTCCCATGTATAGTATGGTAGCCAGAGCGGACTCTGGGAGAGGTCCACCCAGACCCCCGACGTCATGATTTTTTTCATGACGCGACCACCAGAGGTCGGACCTATTCGCCGGGACCGGTTTTTCATCCTGAGTCGTTTTTTGACGGTCCCGAGGGCCGGTAAGGGCCCCCAGAGGCGGAAAATATGGAAAAACCTCCCGTCGTGATTTTTTCATGACTCGAGGGGCTTCTGCTCTCTCGAGGAGTACTTCCCTCCCAGGAAGGGGGGCTCGGAGGGCCACGGCGAGCGGTACCGGGAGGTCGGCTTCTACAACATCAACTGGCAGGCCAACATGATCCACGGGGCAGACCGCGCCCCCGCGTGCACCCGGCTGTGCGGGACCCGCGAGCCGGTGACGTTCAACGACGGGTGCGTCGACATGTACCGGATGAGGTTCAAGGGGGCCAAGGACACACAAATAAATACACACAAATAAAAGGATTTCCCATATTTTCATATATTTTCTGGGTTTTTGTCGTCCCGCCCAATTCCCATATTTTCCCATATTTTCTTGGGGATGGACGATTAATTGTGTCTGTGTGTTTTTTTCCCTCCTGAGAGGTTCCGGTCTTTCCTCAAGAACCCGGGCACGAAGTTCCAGACGGACAAGCGGCGCGACATGACCCTGCGGCACGTGGGCCGGCCTGGCCAGGGCGTCTTCTTCCAGTGGGACGGCGAGGCTCGGCTACGCTTATGATGTTCCAACCCGCTTTGTCCTTCACCGCAAGAAAAAATTTCGAGCACCAGGGAAGTGCCGCAATTGGAGGGTTTGCACGTGTCGGGCCCTGGGAGGCGATACTCGTTCGACACTGTTTCGATACTTTCTGGGTGCTCGAAATTATTTCTGGGGTGTGGTCCTGAAGTACGATGTGAGCAACATAAGGCTACGCGTAAGAGTGACCCCTCGCCGGAGTGACCTTTGGTGCGGACCCACCAGCACTGGCTGGCGCGCTCGGATTTGGCCTCGCCACAGACCCCGGAAGCCGCACCTCAAAGGTCACTCTCGCCTGGGGCCACTCGTGCATGTAGCCGAAAGGCGCGCTTCGCCTTCAGCCCGTCGGGGGAGGCCTTCAGCATCCACGTCCGGAAGGTGCTCAACATTCGGGTGTTGCCAAAGGTGTCCGCGGCCCGAGGTGTCCCCAGGACTCCCGAGGAGGCCCACGTGGCCTGCAGATGCCCCCCCCCCCCCTGCGAGACCCAGAGGGCCCGGCGGCTCCAAAATGGCACGAGAAGCTGGAGGCACCTTGGGCCAGGACCACTTCTAGCAGCACCCGAAGCATCCCCGTCGTCCTGGGCCACGGCTTCGACCCGAAGATCACGGGCGACCCCGACAACGGCCGCCCCGCCTCGTTCGCGTTCTGCGGCGACTCGCCGCTGGAGCGGCAGCGGGTGCGCCAGAGGACTCGGGGGCAGCGTCAGGAGAGGGGACAGGCACAGGGGGGGGGGGTGCATCTCGAAGAGGGCAATGCGGCATAATGGAGGATGACGATTAATAAATGACCGGGGGTCGTGTTCACGCGGCGGCGCCTGGGATGACGATTAGAAAAAACCAGCCGCGGGCTGGAAAACTATTCTTTTTAATCGTTCTCCCCCAGTCAGAAAATTATGCAGAAATAGCAAGAAGCAATTTTTTTAATCGTTCCCCTCCATTTTTTTTTTGAATCGTCATCCCGCATTAAGCACACACGCGGACCCCAGGACTCCGCGCGGAGTGCCGAAGGGTGAGGTCTACGCAGTTGTATGTCTCTCTGGCAGCCGCCCCCAAATCGCCCACCGATCGCCGAGGGGCCCAGGAGCGTGCGGCTTCGCTGTCGGGCGCCCATCGCCGACCTAGCGGGCACGTGTCGCTGGCTTCCTCTCCTTGGAGCTGCCCCCCCCCCCCCCCTATCATTGCCCCTCGAGGATGCTCGAGAACGTGCGCGGGGAGCTGGACGCGGCGCTGAACGCCACGAAGGGCGAGATGAAGGCCGCCGGGCTGCCCTGCGCCGGCGACGCCGGCGCTCCCTGCTGATCTGGGCGAGGCAGCGATAATTGGAGGGGTGCGTGTTGTTTGTTTTTGTTTTCGGTTCTCGGCGTCGCGGGAGCGAGCGTCCAGCTTCTCCCGGCGTGGCTGGGCTTGGCAAGAGGAGATCCCCTGCCATGCCGCGCGCTGGGGCCGGGCTGCCTAGACCTCGGCGCGGTTCCATCGACAGGCACAGGTCGAACAAGAGAGAGTGGCATAAGCATAGACTTTGACGTCCCGCGCGGGCCGTCGAAAATTTATGGTAAGCCAGCTTCCCCCCCTCTACACGGACGGCATAATTCGGCCAGGCATGCCAAAGGGCAAGCTTGAACCCAAGCATGGTCGGGTCGGGCGAAAGGGGGGGATTGGGAAAGGGGGGGTTACGAAATTTGCTGCATGCAGCTGGTTTCGGCCCCACCGAGGGGCCCATTCCTCGATACATAGCCGCCTCCGGCGCCGGGAGGCGCCGGGAAAATCAGCTACGTGAGCTGATTCTCAAACCCCCCCTTTGCTATCCCCCCCTTTCGCCCGACCCGAGCATGGGGCACGCCGCTGGTGGCATGGCGAGCGCCGTGGTCTCTTTGGCGGGGCGCCCGTCTGCAAGGGACTCTGGCGCGCCAGGCGGGGCCCGCCCCCCAGCCTTCCCCCCTTGAGTCAGGAGGGGAGAAAGACACGCACACACACACACACACACGCAATTCATCGTCGATTCCCCAGAAGATGTGGGAGAATATTGGAAGTGAAGATATGGGGAAATCTGGGGGATCCTTTTATCTGTGCCTGTTTATTTGTGTGTCCCAGGGCCCCGTCACTGAGGCGTTCCAGAAAGGGCCTCGTCTTCGAGGGTCGAAGGCGTCGTCGTCGTCGTCGCTTCCATCGGCGGAGGACCGGCGGAGGGCGACCGAAGGCGAACGCGAGGCCGCCTCCGCCGGCGCAGGCCGGCGGAAGCGATAGACATCCGGCCCGCAAGGGGTGGCAACAGTTTTGGGCTCGGGGTCTCCGGGATCGGCCAAAATTTCATGCAACGGGGCAGGGTGACGACGACGACGACGACGTGTTCCTCCCCTCTCCTCTTCCAGCTGGAAGAGGTCGGGAGGCAGGGGGAGACGACGACGACGAGCAGGGCTCAGCCTCGTCTGACCTATAGCACCTGTCTCCATCCCGACCGGGCCATGGTGTCTCGGCCCCGCCGGCCCGCCCTATACACGTGCGGATAGGCCCCGCGGAACCCGAGGGAACGGGCATGGCAACTTGGCCAGAGGGGCCAAGGCCACGCCAGTGGTCGGGTCGGGCGAAAGGGGGGGATTGGGAAAGGGGGGGTTACGAAATTTGCTGCATGCAGCTGGTTTCGGCCTCCCTCACCAAGGGGCCCATTCCTCGATACATAGCCGCCTCCGGCGCCGGGAGGCGCCGGGAAAATCAGCTATGTGAGCTGATTCTCAAACCCCCCCTTTGCTATCCCCCCCTTTCGCCCGACCCGAAGTGGGGAGGGGGACCGGTTTGACGATGCTCAAAGGACGACCCACCACCACGACGACCGCGGGGCCTCTTCCGAAGGCCGGGGCCCGCAGCGCTGGAAGGTGGCAGCCACCCCACGCCCCGAAATGCGCGCGAGGGTGTGAGTCGCAGGGCTTCGTGTGAGCCTTGCACGCAGGGCGGTCAGGTCAAGTGCGCATGATGTCCCTCCTATCCCGTCTTCTCCCTCACTCTCCTCTTCGGCCCCCTTCCCTCCTAAGCACCTTTTCCGAACTCTAGTTTTTTTTGTTTCTGGTGCGGCGCATGGCCCAGCGTGCCCAGGACGCTCTGCTTACATATCGCAAAAAACATGCAGCAAAAATCATGCCCGCAAGCGAAGTGCCAGCAAAGATTTAGGAGTGCACCGCAGCACCGCAACATGTAGTAGTGCACCGCAGCACCGCAGCACCGCAACACACACACACACACCCACATGCGGGGGGGGGCACCACCACACCACGCCCACACCCACAGGGGGGGCAGCATGGGGGGTGGGCCAGACCCTGGATCATAGATGCACCGATTCGGGGTCCAGAATCGGCCTGGCCTGGATCGGTGCTGGCGAATCGATTGCGTCCTCCTCCCAAGGCCCGCCGCAGACACAGCACAAGCCACCGTGCCGGCGACGATCGGCCCGGCAGTGCAGGCCACAGTCTGCCTCGCTGCTCCTAGCCAGTGGCGCTGCACGAGGGGCCCGGGGCACAAGAGCGGCTGCCGGCTGTCCCCCGTCTCGCTCGCTGCGAGTTGACCCGGCGGTGTACAGGCTGATCTCCGCGTGGATCAGGGCGTGCTCGGTGCAGGCCTTTGGGCGCATGGCCAAAGCTGTCGCTCGCCGAGTCCGGCCCGGCCCCCTGGCCCCCCGCCTCGGCCGCGCATATCCCCGGGGGCGTCCTCGCCCCCCGTCTGGGGGGCCAGCCTCCTCGCTGCCGGTGGGAGTCGGCCACGCCCCGGAGTGCCCAGCGTACGGGGGGGGGGGGACCGGGGTGCCGGAGCCTTTGGGGCTCTGGCGCTCAGAGGGCGGAGCGTCGGAGCCCCAGCGCAGGCTCCCCGCCGCCACACGCTGCCTCTCCGGCCCCCTCCTGCGCCTTGCCCCCCCCCCCCCGATCCTCGCTCCTCGCTCCTCCTCGATCCTCGCTCCCTGTCCACGCCTCCTCCCTCCTCGCTCCTCCTCGATCCTCCTCCTCCTCCTCGCTCCTCGATCCTCCTCCCTGCCCCCGGTCCACGCCTCCTCGATCCTCGCTCCTCCCCCTCGCGGGCGCGCCCCGCGCCGCTCTCCCCCCCCCTCCGATTTTTTCTGCCGAAGGGGGGGCCTCTGGAGCCCCCTGGTGCGGCGGGCGGGGGAGGTAGGGAAACGTGTGGGGCGAGCTGTGGGGACCGACCTGGTTCTAGGCCTCCCGGATGGGGCCGGATGAGATGGGGTCGGAGGATCGCGCCGCATCGCCTCGCCGATACATCGGCGACGCGGCTCGCTGCGTTTCCCCTCTCCGGCTTCGCCGATGCATCTGGGGGCACGCCTCCTTCTCCTCCTCCTCCTCCTCCTCCTCCTCCTCCTCCTCCTCCTCCTCCTCCTCTCGGGGGAGCGTAAGACCCGGGTTTGCCGGGACTCGGGTTCGCCATCGTTTTTTGACGACTGCGCCTCGGATTTTGACGAGGAGGAGTTTCGTGGGATGTCTGCAGCGGGAGGCCTCGTCAAAATGCAGGCTCGGCCTCGTCATTTTTTTGACGACCTCGTCGGGGATTTCCGAGTCCCCCGTACCCGGGTCTTACGTCTCCCCGATCCTCCTCCTCCTCCTCCTCCTCCTCTCAGCCATTCTTTGCTCAGGGGAGCATTGCAGACACGTGCTTCAGAACTGCTCGTGTCTGCGAGCCAATCTTACCAGAGATTTCGCGGTGCCCATGCCATCCCATGGTAGCCGCAAGCTGCAAAATGGTGAATGGAAATCCGCGGGCAAGTGCAGCGGTTGCCAGAACTAGCTCAGCAGGCCGGTGTGCAGGTCGTGCGGGACCAAGGCGCCGCACAAGGTGCTGGCGCTTCAGTCCGCGCTCCTCGGCGCCTTGGGCCCAGCCGCCGACGCCTTGGGGCCCAAGCGCAACGGCAAGGGCAGCAAGGACAAGGATAATGACACGGGCCCGCCTGCGACCACCGCCCAGTCGAAGACCGCCCTTGCCGACGCACTGGCGCTGATCCAGAAGGCCGCCGAGGGCAAATGCGAGTTCCCGGCGGCTCTCTTGGCGCTCGGGGATGAGGGCCCGAAGTAGCCCGACAAGGCCGTGGACCTAACCAGCAAGCCGCTGGCGCAGATCTTGCAACACCAGAGCGACAAGGCCAAAGCAGATCGAGAAGGCCAGGCTACGAGTTGCGGAGCGGGCCGAGGAGCTAGCGAAGGCGCAGGAGCAGCTGCGCAAGCACGAAAGGAATAATAAACAAAATAAGAAGAAGAGTAAACATAATAAGAATACGAATAAGAAGAATACTTAGAATACGGATGATAATAGGAAAAATAATAATGATAATAAGATAATAATAGTAATATTAAGACGAAGAATAATAAGAAGAAGAAGGCAGAACTCGACGAGCTGGTGCGCACGAAGAACACGGAGGCTGCCATGCCAGGGAGCGGAGGCGGGCTCCCCCAGGACGCCAGCCTCGGCGCCAGCGGCATCGACTTCGTCGTCCAGCTTCGAGCGGGCCAGCAAGGACCCCGCTCTGGCCCGCCTCAGCATCGGCGCCTCCCCCGTGGTAGAGGGCCTCCAGAAGGCCAAGACCGAACGGGCTGCTGAGGAGCAGCGGGCCGCTGAGGCTAAGGCTTCTGATGCTGCTCCTGCTGCTGCAGGTGGCGGTGCTGCCCCAGGCGGCGGCGGGACCCCAGGGAGCGCCGACCACATGCACGTCGACACTGCGGTGCCCGACCTCGAGATCGATGACGACCTGGCAGAGCGAGTCGGAAGCATCCTCGACGGCATGGGGATGGCAAGCCACAGTGGGACCTCAACAGGGAGGAGGACCGTGCTAACCTCAAGAGGCTGGCCGAGTCCTTCAGCCCTGTCAAGCGACAAACGCATGGGTAGAAGGGCCCAGGAGCCCGAGCCTGACGAGGCCCACCTGCTCGGGATCGTCGACGCCCTCGTCAGGCCGTCCGCAAGAGGCATCCCCGCTTTCGTGATGGAGGTCCTCGCCAGCCAGACTGCTTTGACTTCGTGGACGTTTGCGCCCACGAACAGTACTGAGCAGGAGAGACGAGCCGGCGGGGCCTCTCCGCAGGGCGCTCGGGGCGGCACCGGGGGATTTGTTCCTGAGTCGAGCTTCGCCCCGCCGTTGTCGCCAGAATCGAATGTTGCCCGCAGTGTTCTGCGCGGCCCGCGCCTTCTAAGAAGCGGCCTCTTTCTAAGAACCCCCCCCTCTCTCTCTTGCGAAAGCGGCCGATAGGCGGCCGCAACTAGGTTGCCAGGTGGACCTGTCACGGGCTCTGTGCGCGCCGGCGGTGGGGGAGCTTCACCTCGTCACCGCCAACCCTAACAGCTGGGCTTCGGGGCAAGGGCTGCTTGAGGGGTTCGCCGCCAAGGGCTTGCCCGCGGATATCGCGTGCATGGAGGGGCACCGCCTCAAAGTGGCCAGCAAGTTGACCTCGGCACAAAAGTGGGTTCAGACTGCTGGGCGCGAGCTCCACGGAGCTTCGGCGGCACTCGCGGGGCCTGAGCCGCTTGACAGCACAGGAGGGTGCGCGGTCCTCTCCAAGGTGCCGTCGCTGGCCGCGCAGACAGAAGCGGGATGCAGCCTGCCCGCGCGCCGCGTGCAGGCGGTGAAGGTCAACATTGGCCTTCTGGCATCCATATATTCGTGCTGTCGATATGCCGGATTGCCTGGGCGTGGCAGGCGACGACATCTTGTTTTTGGAAGCGCTCATGGCGCTGGTAGGCGGCCTACCGTGGCCGTGGGTCGCCATGGCCGGCTGGAACATCGAGCCTGAGGACCTTGCCAGCTGGGCCAAGCAGTCGGCCAGTGTGCTAGTCCGACCGTGGAGCCCGACGCGCGGGCCGAAAGATTTGGATTTCGCCATCGTCTCGGAGGTGGTGTCCAGTAAGGTCGGCGAGGTGTGGGCCTTTGACCAGGGGTCCACGTCGCCCCACACCGCTGCGGGCATGCGGCTGCTGGGTCTGCACAGCAAGGCCACCGTTGCCAAGGCGATGTGTCCAGCACGCTACCCGCTACAGCTGCGGCCGCCCACGGAGCCCGCACCTGAGCGCTGGAGCCGCAGGAATGGGCCTGGGGGCTCTGCACAGGGCCCCTGGACCTAGAGGCTGCCTGCAAGTTCAGGCTCACGATGGTGGAGGTCTACCTGTGCGAGCTCTACGGCGTCGAGGCCAAGGCGCGCCGCCTGGGTGGTCGAGCCAACGGCCTGCAGGTCGTGGTCCGCCTCCCTCAAGGCCGCCGCCAGCCCGGCCTACCGCTTGTGGGCGGGGCTCACAGCGGCGCGCCGCCGAGCCGCGCAGCTTCGCGCGCGCCGGGAGGGGAGGCAGTGGGCGCGCTACTGCAAGATGGAACGCCAGATCCGCATCGTGCGCAGCTTCGTCATCCTTCCGGAGCTGCGGCTCTCGTCTGGGCCGCTAGCCTCCGGGGATGTGGCGGCGATCGCTGGCGCCTTCGAGAGCTCCAGCCTGCGCTTGGACTACGGGCTGCTGGTCGACATGGCTGAGCACGCCCAGGGCCCCCAGGGCCTCCACAGGCAGCGGCGCAGTGCCGAGTGGCGCGCGTGGGCCCAGGAGGCCGCCGCCCTGTTCGGAGGCCGTGCGGCGTTCAAGTTCATAAAGGAAGGCGAGATCCGCCCATCCGTGTTGCACGGCCAGTCATGATGAGCCGGAGGGCGATGAACCGGTGCCAGTGGTAGGCGACGAGGCCATGAAGGTCTTGATGAAGGAGTGGGAACCGCTTTGGTATCATCCCGACATGGCCAGCGACCTGGGCCTTGTCGAGTGGGACGTGGGCGGCGACGCTGGCTGCTGGGAGGACCTCCCGCCCGTCGCGATGTTGCAGCTGGACCAGGTGCTCGCGTCCTTCGGCGAGGGCGCGGGCCAAGGGTGGGATCGCGTGCGCCCCGGGCAGCTGCGCTGGCCCCCGCCGCGCTACCGCCAGGCCATCCTGGACATGGTGCAATTCTGGGAGCGGCGACCGCTGCGGATTCCCTTGTGGCTGATGCTCGTGCCCTTCTTGCCCAGGCCCTCGCCCGGGGGCGTTGGGCCCATAGTCCTGGCCAGCTTGTGCATCCGAATGTGGTCTAAGCTCCGTCAGCCGCTGGTGGCCCAGTGGGGGCAGAAGATCGACTCCTCGTTCCACTGGGGCTCGGTTGGCCGCACTTGCGACCAGGCGGGCGCGGTGCGCAATTTGATGACCGCGTGCGCTCGGCAATCGGGCAACGTCGCCAGCACGCTGGCGGTGGATCTTTCGAAATACTACAAGCTCATGAGCCATCGGGGACTCAAGGAGCAGGCCATTGAGACTGGCTTCCCAGTGGTCTTGCTCAGGGCGCTGTGCTCGAGCTACCGCCTGCAGCGACGGGCCCCGTGGGGCTCTGGAGTGGGGCGCGTGATCGAGGCCAATGGCGCCGTGGCCGCAGGCTTCTCGTGCGCGGTGGGCGTGGCCAGGCAAGCTCCTTGCCTGCGCGCTCCTGCGTCGGGTGGTCTCGAGGTTCCCCCTGGTCAGGGCCCGGGGCCTCGTGGGCGACTGCCTCCTCCAAGCCGTCGGCGCGCGCAGGCTGGCGGCCCAGCAGATGCCGCTGGCTGCGAAGGAGCTTTTCGAGGGCCTGGAGGGCCGGCGCCTCAGTGTCATTTGGGGCAACGGGCTCGTTGGCCACGGGCCCGCTCTGGGCGTGGGAGCTGGCCGTCGCCTGGGGCGACCTGGGGCTCGAGAAGCACGCCGGCCTGCGGCGCTTGGGCGGCGATGGAAATGGCGCCAGCCGCCGACGAGTGCCCGAGCAGAACAAGCGTCTGGCCAAGGCGAGCAGAGCGGCGGCCAAGATCGAACTGCTGCAGTCCGCTGGGGCGAAGGCGTGCCACCTGCACCGAGGTTTGCCCTGCGCCGCGGCGGTGCGGGGCTTGGCGATCACTGGCATCGCCGACGGCGAGTTAAATTGCCTCCGGGTGCACGCGCTGCGCGCAGAAGGTCGGCTTGCAGCCGGCACTGCGCGGGGCATCAGGTTCGGGCGGTGCCGAGGGCTAACTTCCGCGACCCGCTGGCGGTGCGCAGCGTGGAGGTCGCCAAAGCGTGGGCCGCCGTGGTCGACGGCGGAGTGGCGCGCGCGTCCAGCCCTGGCCGCCGTCCTGACATTTGCGCGCGTCGGCTGCAGCCTGGCCGAGCACGACTGCTTAGTTGCTTAGTTGATTTCCTCGGCCGCGAATTGGACCTGCAGTTTTTTTTTGCCGGGTTCCCTTGGCCGAGAGGCGAGGCGTGCTGCCTTCGCTGCGTCGGATGTGATGGCGCTTCGCCGTGCGAAGGCGCCGTGGGTGGCAGAAATCCATCGGTCGCCCGTTTTGGCCGAGCTGCAGCGAGGTAGCGCGGAAGTGTGGTGCAGGAGGCGCGAGAACATTTGCAGGTACGTTAATTGCGGGGCGCAGTGTTGCCAGCGTCGCCTCTTCGACCGAGGCAAATCGATCCAGTCGACTTGCGCTCTCTGCGGGTCGGAAGGTGCTTAGTGGCGTCGCGCTTTCCACTGGCCGTGCACGGCTGGCTTTCGACGCGAAGGCTGCCCGCCTGATCTTCTGAGGGCCGCGGCAGTCGCGGCCGCTGAGGGCAGCCAGTGCGCGGAGTTTGTCGCGAGGGGGCTGGCGCGAAGGGATTAGTGGGCCCATCGTGCTCTTCCTTCTTATGGCCTACATTTAATATATTTCTTTCTCGCGATATCCCAGGAACTATTTTTTCCTGCTGCTTTTCTTGTAAGAGTCTCCTGATGAGATGACATATTATTTGTGAAACGAATTATCCCGGCAAAGCAACCTAACAGCGATGTGTAGAAGCATATCTGAAAGCATTCCCCTTAAGATTCAGATGAAAATCCAGTTGTCGAATTCTGCTGTTCTCGCAGTCGTAGTCGCATTCGCGATGACAGTCGCAGCGGCAACCACAGTCGCAGTCACAGCCTCAGCCTCAGCCTGCCTCCTCCTCCTCCTCCTCTTTCTCCTGCTCCTCCTCCTCCTCCTCCTCCTCCTCCTCTTCCTCCTGCTCGTCCTCGTTCTCGTCCTCCTCGTCTTGCTCGTCCTCCTCCTCCTGGTGCTCTCTCCTCCTCCTCCTCCTCCTCCTCCTCCTCCTCCTCCTCCTCCTCCTCCTGGTGGTCCTCGTTCTCCTCCTCCTGGTGCTCTCCCCCCCCCTCCTCCTCCTCGTCCTCCTCCTCCTCCTCCTCGTCCTCCTCCTCCTCTTCCTCCTCCTCCTCCTCCTCCTCCTCCTCCTCCTGGTAGTCCTCCCCCTCCCCTCCTCCTCCTCCTCCTCCTCTTCCTGGTCGTCCTCGTTCTCGTCCTCCTCGTCTTGCTCGTCCTCCTCCTCCTGGTGTTCTCTCCTCCTCCTCCTCCTCCTCCTCCTCCTCCTCCTCCTGGTGGTCCTCGTTCTCCTCCTCCTGGTACTCTCCCCCCCCCTCCTCCTCCTCCTCCTCGTCCTCGTCCTCCTCCTCCTCCTCCTCCTCTTCCTCCTCCTCCTCCTCCTCCTCCTCCTCCCTCCTCCTCCTGGTACTCCTCCCCCTCCCCTCCTCCTCCTCCTCCTTCCCTCTTCCTGGTCGTCCTCCTCCTCCTGGTCGTCCTCCTCCTCCTGCTCGTCCTCCTCCTCCTCCTGCTCGTCCTTCTTCTCCTGCTCCTCCTGCTCCTCGTCCTGCTCCTGCTCGTCCTCGTCCTCCTGGTCTTGCTCGTCCTCCTCCTCGTCGTGCTCTTGCCCCTGCTGAAAATGTGGCCCAGAATGGGAGTTCTGGGAAGTCGAAGAGCACGAAGTTGCCTACAGTTGGCTACGGGCATTCAAAATGTGGCCCGGGAATGGAGTTCTGGGAACTCGAAGAGCACGAAGTGGCCTACAGTTGGCTCCGGGCATTCAAAATGTGGCCCGGGAATGGAGTTCTGGGAACTCGAAGAGCACGAAGTGGCCTACAGTTGGCTCCGGGCATCCAAAATGTGGCCCGGGAATGGCGTTCTGGGAACTCGAAGAGCACGAAGTGTGTGACTGTTGCATCCGGCCCCCCAGAATGTGGCCCGGGAATGGCGTTCTGGGATGTCGAAGAGCACTTTGTGTGTGACTGTTGCATCCGGCCCCCCAGAATGTGGCCTGGGAATGGAGTTCTGGGAAGGCGAAGAGCACGAAGTGTGTGACTGTTGGTGAAAAACGAGCCCGGCTCATGCCGCCCGGAAACGCCCCAACACCTGCCCGGACCCCCCTGTGGAGTGATCTGCTGCTCTCTTTTGAGACCACTAGAAACCTATCAGTCTTCGCTGTTAGGTAAAAAATTCGGTTCAGAGATCCGAGAGAATGTTCTTGCATGTTCGTTTTACTGTTATAATATGGTGGCTTTCCATAACAATGTATCGATGATCGATCTTTCTCTCTTCTACTGAATCGGTTGTTTTATCCATATGTTTTTGCGGATGGAAGCCATCATATAAGCTACAAAGAAAACGAAACAAGAGACCGGTGACCGCTGGCATTGTTATTTTCTTTTAAAAGAAGGACCAGAAGACAGGAATTCAACATTATTCTCTGTCTTTGTTGCAACCATTTTCTTTCTTCGGTCTCCTCTTTAAAAAAGAATAGTAAATTCTGTGCCAGCGGAGGTCTCTTGATTAATAATCCTGTGAAGAGCTCAATTTTCCATTCTCGTATTATCCCCTTCGTTGATGGTCATCTGACGATGAGTCCAGAAGGACCTGCGCCATCAATCAATGAAAAGAAAGCGAGAATATAATATTGTAGGTCGCAGGATTATTCTCATTCCTTTCTATTACAGACCAGTTTATTTTTTCATTTAATATTAATCTTGAGTATATATTTCTTTAATAAAGGAAAGATTTCTCTTCAACCAAGAATTCTTTCAAGATGTTAACGAAGAGGAAATAGATACGCACTCTCGTATCTTTAAGCTGGTGTATTTTCTTCTTTGGGTCTTGTCTTTCAGTCCTGCTTTCTTTTTCGAACAGAATAATGCAATGTGTTGATCTCGTTTCGCAGCAAAGGCAGAACGAAGACAGAGCGAATGATAACACATCCAACACACAAGCGAAAAACACTGTGAAGCTCGAGCCCTGCACCCGCAACCACAACCGAGAGGATTTTTCGGGAGAGTCCTTCGGGGGAGAGCCCATCGACCTCGACATGAGCATTTCGGTGGTGGTTGTGGTCGATTTGGCCGTCCTGGGACGCCGCATCGACCACACCCAGTATGAAGCTGGTTTCGGTGGCCCGACAATAGTTGGCATGCGCAAGATGTCTCCCAGAGTGTGTCATCGATGTGATTGTGCTCGCTTGCTGTCTCCGCATCCCCCCTGCTCCTCTCGGCTATGCGTAAGGGTGACCCTTCGCCAGAGTCATCTTCTGGTGTGGGCCCACATGTGTCCCCTAGCGCTGGCCTGCGTTCTTGTATTTGGGCCCTCGCGCCCCCCTACAGCCGTGCACCAGAGGTCACTCTTGCCTAAGGCCACCTTTGCATGTACGCAACCGATCCTCTTCTATCCCCTTCTCCTATCTCCTATCCTCCCCCCCTCCCTGTTCCTCTCCTCCCCTCCTCCTCTCTGTCCTGCTCAGCCTCTCTGCGCCCGTTGACTCAAGAGCGATCCTAAGAGGTTGCGTGACCTTGGGCACCGCTGCATCGTTGCTGACTGCAGCGATGGTTTTTTCGTTCCCTCTACACGTCTGGTCAGCTGCGTGGCTTGGGGGACCCTTGCCAGGCCAGACTTCTCCTGTAGATGAACAAAAACGTGGAACCGTTGACTCCGCCCCCACCCCCCTCCCCCAGATTCGAAGAGTTGGTCCCAGGCGTTCGGCAGCACAGGCGTGAGAGGACAACAGAAATTGGACCCCCACAGGGCCTCCGCGAGGCGCTACCCAGCTTGAACATCTGGGGGGTGTGGGCGTGGGAGCGAACCCGGGGCCGACCCTGCAGGGGCTCTACGTGTGGAAGACGTCCCAGACCAGGGTCGGTGGCGACACCCACTGTCTCCTCTTTTCTCCTCTCTGTGCGTGACCCTCAAGGCGCACGCGTCTCTGTGGGGTGTCCTGCGGCCATGTGCCCTATGCAGTCGCCATCCCACAGGGGGTGGGTACAGCAGACTGGCTCTTATGCTCGATCACCCCTCTCACACTACGTACCTGTTGGTCCCCTCGCCGCCCCCTCCAGGCCGACACACCCACTGGAGCCTCGGCCGGCACCCTGGCCGCCCCCTCGCCGCTCGCCGCCTTTCGCCCTGCGCCGCCCCCTCTTCGGGTGTTGCTAGAAGTGCCCCTGGCCCAAGGCGCCCCCAGGATTCTCAGGGTGGCCCGGGCGGCCTCCAGGGCACCCCTCGCGAGGCCCAGAGGGCCCAGGGTGCTCCAAAACGGTGCGAAAAGCTGGGGGCATTTTGGGCCAGGGGCACTTCTAGCAACGCCCGACCTTTGGCGCGGGCCCGCCGCAGGCGCCCGCCGCGGGGCGGCTCCGCCTACGCTGCGGCGCCGGGGCTGCCGGCGCTCAGCGGGCCGCCTCGCGGGCCCGCGGAGAAGGCCCGCGAGGGGTGGCGGGCCGGCGGCTGCACGCCCGGAGCGCTCCGGGAAGGGCGAGGGTCCCCGGAGTTGCCGTCCTTGGCATCGCTCGGACGTGTGCGTTTTTTCCTCGGCGAGGACCATCGAGGATCATTTGGCGAAAAAGCCATGCGCGAAACCGAAAAAAAACACAGGGGATGTACGTCCGAGCGATGGCCAGTGTCGTCATCGGCGGATGCGGCTGCAGCGGGTGCTCTGTTAGGGCGCCCTGCGTCGCCTGCCCAGGGCCCAGGCGGGCCACGGCGGGCGAGGCCATCAGCGTGGAGAGTTGGTCGCCCGAGGCACGGGCGCGGCTGGCTGCGCTGGCGCAGCCGCGTGGGCCCGCCTCGCGCTGCTGGACTTGCTCGCGAGAGGGCGCGAGCTCGTGCCCAGTGGTCGGGCCGTGGCGGAAGGTCGGCAGAAGCTGGCGGACGTAGAACGAGGCCGCCTCCGCCGGGGGACGCCGCCGGCAGCGCGGCGGAGGGCGGCGGGAGCAGAAGACGCGCCCCCCAAGGGACGACATGCTTTGGGGGTTCAGGGTTTCTGGGGCTTGCCACATCGGTCGTTGGAAGCAGGCATGTACGGCAGGAGTGAGGGGGCGGGCGCGTGGTGGGTTGCGGGGCCGTTCGCGGGGTGGGTCGCGGGCGGGTCGCGGGCAAGGGCGACGACAACAACAATAACAATCATTTTAATACTGTTCGCATTTATCTGCTCGCGTGTCGTTCATCATGTATATCCCGAGCCCTCGATATCCTGTCTCTGACCGAAGCCACGGCCCAGACGACGGGGCGGCGACGGGGCGGCGACGGCGGCCACGGCCGCCAGACCGAGGACACGGCCCAGTACCTTTGAACAGGAGTGAGAAACCCTAAATGCAAACACTATTCTGGGAAAACTGGCTTAGGATCAAACGCCCGCCTCAGGGAAAGGGTCGAGGCCCTTGGGGGCCGACGTCATCAAAAACTGCGACATCGGAGGAGAGGAGGGGACTTGCCCTTCGTCGGAGTGGCCTCTGGTGCGGGCCTGCCAAGTCTCCCCCAAGCACCGTGGATTGCGCGCGTGGATGCGGTCCCCTCCCGCGGCCCCCGAAAGCTGCGCACAAGAGGTCACCCTTGCCTAGGGTCACTCTTGCATGCAGCTAACGAGGGTGCTTGACCCACGTTCTCGTGTCGGCGGCGACCCTGGGGGGGAAGTGAGAAGGGGCGGGACTTCCCAGAAGACTCAGGAGGCCTCCGGCCTTCTGAGAAGTTTTCGAAGCCTTCCCCGAACACCCAGACATTTTTTTGTCGGAAGGCCGGAGGGCTTCCGAGAAGCCCCGCCGCCTGCTGACAAGGCCTTCTCCCTCTCGCTTCCCCCCCCGGGCTCGCCGCCGATAGTGACCATGTGTCGACGGCGGGAGTGCGGGGGAGGTGGGGGAGGAGGAAGTGGGGAGGGGGAGATGGGGGAGGAGGAAGTGGGGAGGGGGAGGTGGGGGAGGTGGAGAGGAGGGGGAAGCGGGGGAGGTGGGGGATGGGGGAGAGGGAGGGGAAGTGTGGGGGGGAAGTGTGGGAAGGTGGGGATGGGGGAGAGGGGAGGGAAGTGTGGGAGGGGGAAGTGGGGGAGGGGGAAGGTGTGGGGGAGGGGGAAGTGTGGGAGGGGGAGGTGGGGGAGGGGGAAGGGGGGGGGGAGGTGGGGAAGGGGGAAGTGCGGAGGAGGCGCGGCAGGGGAGGTGCCCACCACCACAGCCGCAGAGCTGTCGGCCGCGGCGCTGTCCGAGCACGACAGCAAGTACGACGACATTGCTCGGCGGGGGGGAATCAGGTTCGGTAGCAAGTCATGCGAGCCTCGTGTACCCTCGCAATTCGGTTTTCTATAGAGTGCACGAGCGCCGATGAACGCCCGGTAATCGGTGAGATGGCGCCGATCTAGCGCCGATCAGCGTCGCTTCAGCGGTCGATCAGCGTCGATTCACTGGTCGAGAAGTGTCGACGGGCGTCGCTTCGCAAGAGCCAACAAGACGGTATGGAAGGCTCGCACGAGTTGCCGTAGCAATCGGGGGGAGGGGCGCCAGCCTTCCGCCCGAGGGCCGAGGCTCGAGGGTAGACTGCGAGGCTCGAGGATGGACATCTCGTGGCGTCTACGCAAGCCTTTCTGGGCTCCCGGAGGCCTCTGGAAGCCCTCTGGGACCACCTTCAAACGACGCGAAGATCGGGACAAAATCGGATCGGGATAACTCGAAATCACTGAGAATCGGCGGGTTTGGAGGATGTATTGGGCGCCGCGGCCGCTCCAGAGCGTTCCGGAACGCTCTGAGAGCGCTCCGGAACGCTCTGGAGCGATTTATCCCGATCCTAGCCCTGTTTTACACCTGGGGCCCGCGGGGATGCCATACCCGCCTTTCGGGATGATCAAGATGGGCACGGAAAGAACGGGTACAACGGCCGACAGTAGCTCCTGCTCGTTCTGGACAGGACTCGCTGTCGGTGTCGCCGCGGCCCGTGTTCATCTGAAACAGAAGGCCGCCTGCCCAACAGCGGCCGCCCTTGGTTTGGGACAGCCTTTGTTGTTGGGCAGTTGGCCTACGTTTTCCGTACCCATCTCGGGCGTCCACAGCCGTGCGAGCATCGGCGCTCGAGGAGCGAGGCTCGAGGACGCAGCGCACTCTTTTTTGGGCGCCTGCCGAATCCTTTCTGGGCCTGCGTGGGCCTCTGTAGGCCTGCGGTGTCCCAGCTCCTCCTGCGGCTCCCCCCTCCTCGGCCTCGTGCGAGCGAGCCGAGAGGGCACGAGCTGTCCTCGCCTCCCAGCGGTCGAGCGACAGCGCGGCAGCCGACGGCCTTGTCCCACAGTGGGTCGGAGGTGGATAGACCTCCTGCCTTGACACGTCGATTAGCGAATTTGCCGTTTTCGGTTCGCGCGAGGGCGTCGCGGCCGTCATTTTTGCGGGTCCAGGTCCGTCGGTTTCGGTCCCAGGCCGTTTTCACTAAAGGGTGGTTTATTAAAGGGAGGTTTGTCCACCGCCGATACAGTGGGGGCGCGCATCAAGAAACCGTATGTTTTTCGCCAGGGCATCCAGGTTTTCTTCGATCCGCGAGCTGCGCGGTGACTTCCCGCAGCCGTTGAAGAAGCTGCTGCGTTCAGGGCGCTCCGGGTTTCCCCTCAGGTGCACCTCGCGCGCGGGCTTTCAGGGTTGGGTTTCCTTCGAGGGTTTCTCGCGGCCGCGCCCGCACTGCATCGGTCGGAAGACACAGGATGACGTCAGAGGAATAAGCGCAGCACCCATGTGACCGCTCGAGCAGATGGCTCTTACTGGTCGGGCGGTGGATGAAGCGATTGATCGCCGACACCGTCGTCGTCGTCGTCGTCGTCGTCGTCGTCGTCGTCGTCGTCGTCGTCGTCGTCGTGGATCGCGACCTTGACGGCCTGCACCTGGACTTCTCCCATGGCGCATTCTGGCCAGCAGTTCGAGGCGGATCCAGCCGTGGCCACGAGGGCGCCGCCCCCAGAGGCCCCAAAGGGCTGAAACAACTTGATCCTCGAACCTCGAGCCCCGATCCTTGGACCTCCTCCCTCCTCCTCCTCCTCCTCCTCCTCCTCCTCCTCCTCCTCCTCCTCCTCTTCCTCCTCCTCCTCCTCCTCCTCTTCCCTCCTCCTCCTCCCCCCTCCTCCTCCTCCTCCTCCTCCTCCTCCTCCTCCTCCTGCGCCTCCTCCTCTTCCTCCTCCTCCTCCTCCTCCTCCTCCTCCTCCTCCCTCCTCCTCCACCTCCTCCTCCTCCTCCTCCTCCTCCTCCTCCCTCGTCCTCGTCCTCTTCTCCTCCACCTCCTCCTTCCTCCTCCTCCTCCTCCTCTTTCCCTCCTCCTCCTCCTTCCTCCTCCTCTTCCTCACCCGCTCCTCTTCCTCCTCATCCTCTTCTCCCCCTCATCCTCCTCGTCCTCGTCCCTCCTCGTCCTCGTCCTCCTCCTCCTCCGGCCTCCTCCTCCTCCTCCTCCTCCTCCCTCCCCCTCCTCCTCCTCCTCCTGCTCCTCCTCCTCCTCCTTCTCCTCTTCCCTCCCCCTCCTCCTCCTCCGCCTCATCCTCCTCCTTCTCCTCCTCCTCCTCCTCCTCCTCCGGCCTCCACGTCTTCCGTAGGGAGGTCCGTTGTGCCCACGCTGCCGCCGTCAGCGGCCGCCTAGCACGACTCCCCGAGCGCCTTGACCTTTCTTTTACCTTTACCTCCTCCTCCTCCTCCTTCCTCTCCGTCTCCCTGCTCACTCCTTGTGCGTTGACTCCTCCTACCCCTCCCTCCCTCCCTCCTTCCCTACTTTCTTCTTCCTCCTCCTCTCCCTTCCTCTCCTTCTCCCTGCTCCCTCCTTTTGCGTTTTCTCCTTCTACCCCTCCCTCCCTCCCTCCTTCCCTACCTCCTTCCTCCCTCCCCCTGGTCTTCTCCTCCTCCTCCTCCTTCTCCGCCCTCCTCTTCCTCATCCTCCTCCTTGCTCCTCCTCCTCCTCCTCTTCCTCCTCCTCCTCCTCCTCCCTCCTCCTCCTCCTCCTCCTCCCTCCTCCTCCTCTTCCTCCTCCTCTTCCTCATTCTCCTCCTCCTCCTCCTCCTCCCCCTCCTCCCCTCCTCCTCCTCCTCCTCCTCCTCCTCCTCCTCCTCCTCCTCCTCCCCCTCGCGCTCGGCACGCTTGGCGCGCGTGTGTCGCGCGCGCTGGCGACGTGTGTTTAGAACGCCCCTCTAAGTAGCATTACCTTTCAGGGCATGGTACCACTTCCCAGAAAGGGGGAGTGGGTGTGTGAAGAAACAGCGTTCGGGGCGCGGGCGAGGTGTTTGGCAGGAGGTCCAGGCCGCAGCTCCCGTCCAGCGTGACACCACGGTGAGGTCAGAACGCGTAAGACGGCCCAACCAATCCTCCTCCTGCTCCTCCCTCGCCTCATGCTCCTTTCTTTCCGCCTCCTCCCCCTCCCCCTCCTCCTCCTCCTCCTCGTCCTCCTCCTCGTCCTCCTCCTCTTCCTCCTCCTCCTCCCTCTCCTTTTCCTCCCTCTCCGACTCTCCTTCTCCGTCCTTCGCTCCGATATTCTCTCGAGGGCCATGGGCGACGGGCAGCGGCGAGGGCGTGGACAATGGGGTCCGCGCCAGCGCGAAAGGGGAGGGGCACGGTCTCGACGAGGTTCAGGCTGCGGGATCGACGAAAGCAGGAAGCCTGCGCCTTTCTTTTGTTTCTCCTCGTCTTCCCCATGACACTTCGCAGGGGGAGAGTGGCAAAGAAGGGGAAGAGGAAGAGAAGTAGGTGGAGGAGGACGAGGAGGATGAGGAGGAGGAGGAGGAGGAGGAGGAGGAGGAGGAGGAGGCGGACGCGCAGGAGGAGGAGGAGGAGGAGGAGGAGGAGGAGGAGGAGGAGGAGGAGAAGAAGCAGGAGGAGGAGGAGGACCAACGTACGCCCAAGATGCATCACATATGCTTCAACCCACCCTTCCGTTCCACGTCCCTACCCAGGAGCCCCTACAAGGATTTTTTTTCATTGGGCGAGGGTTCCCCCTTGAGAGATGAGCCCGCAAATCGGGCGGGCGCCATGTCTTGAAGGACGCCGCCCCCACTTCTTCGAGGTAGCAGGAATTCAACAAGGTGGTGCGGTTCATGGAAGTGCTCAGCATCGATATAGCTGCTGCATTTTTGTTGACACAGATTTTATACAACAGAAACAAAGTAATACGACGAAGCAATAATCAATCAACACAACTAGAACTCATGGCCTTCAGCCCATCCATCCCGCCACCGTGCTTGGGTTGTTGGTCAGACTTTTCAGGGGTGCTTCCTTGGGTCTCTTCGGGGCGCTCTCGGGGGGTCTCTCGGAGCAGTTTTAGTGCCTCTTGGGAGCCTCTTGGGAGCCTCTTGGGGGCCTCTCAGGGGACTCTTGGGTGCTTCTTGGGGCCTCTTGGAGGCCTCTTGGGGGCCTTTTGGGGGCCTCCCTTGGGGCTGGGTGCTCGAAATGTCCGTTCGGGTTTCCCATCTGGGACCCCACTGGGAGCCGTCTTCTGGCCCTTTTGGGCCGTCTTGGGCGCCTCCTGGGCCGTCTTGGGGCCCTCTTGGGCCGTTTTGGGGCCCTGTTGGGGGCCTCTGGGGCCGTCTTGGGGTGATCTTGGGGGCCTCTTGGGTCGTCTTGGAGCGTCGGAAAGGCGACGAGGCGAGAAGGTCCGTTTTCCTTTCAGACACCGAAGGAACGTCGATGATTTGTGCCTCTTGGGGCCCTCGTAGGCGGCCTCTTGGGGCGTCTTGGAGACCCATTGGGCCGTCTGGGGGTCATCTTTTGGGCGTCTGGGGGTGGTCGTTTGGCGACTCGGGGCCCTCTTTGGGCTGTCTTGAGGGTCGCTCGAGGCCCTCGTGGCGCCCGTCCTGGGGCGGAAACAGTGCCGCGAGAAGTGGCGGAGAGCGGCGGCGCGCCCCGAGAGATTTGGCAAGCGGGGGTCTGGGCCCCTTGAAAGACTCCTCAGGAGCGTGGTCTGAGGCTACGGTAGGTTCGCGTCGTGTCGACCGGCGGCGACCCCGCCGCCGACATTCAACGTTGAACGCTGACGGCGGCCCAGAATCGGTCGATGTTGAACGATCGGACGTTGCGGAGACGGCCGATCGTTCAAGGTTGAACGATCCAGCGCGGTGTCAGGAACCAACGCCAGGGTCGACACGGCACGGACCTGCAGTAAGAGGATTGGGGGGAGGACCTGGGGACGCGCCCACTCTGTGCCCAGAGGCGGATGGTTGAACTTGTGGCCATCAATGCGGACGAAGTCTCAGGCGATGTCCATTTTTTGAAGTCGTGTCAGCCATGACCCGTGTCAGTGTTGCACGATATTGATGCCACGCGCGCGGCGCTAATGCGAGAGCCACATTTGGAAACGACCCGCCCTCCATCGGGGTAACTGTTGGAAGCTCTACTGTTGGAAACATTTAAGGCGAGGTGCTAAGACGATAGCCACATGTTAGAAGCCAACTGCCCTTCATCCATGTAACTGTTTGGAGTCGTCAATTGTGTGATACTGAAGGGTGCGGAAGTCTCGAGCGAAACATCTGGTTGGCCTGGCTCTGAGGAGTTACTGATCGGAGGTTGGGAGGTGGAATCGAAGTAGAACGGAGAGCCCCGCACCGGGAAATCGGTTTCGGCTTCGGGTTCGTGTGGCGCGCACGGGCGAGGCGAAGCTGCGCGGGCGGGCGATAGGAATGCCTCCGCTGTGGCCAGGGCGGGGCAGAGCCGTGGACCCCTCCTCCCCCCCCTCCGGTGGTCTGGCGGTGGCCCGGGTGCCCCGCCGTGTCCGGTGTCCTGTCGCTCTCCCGTCGGTGTCCCATCGCGGTGGGCGGGCGGTGGCCGGGTTGTCCTTCCGTGGTGTCCCGTCGGCGTTCCGTTGGTGTCCCGTCGGTGCCCCGTCGGTGTCCCGTCGGTGTCTCGTCGGTGTCCCGTCGGTGTCTCGTCGGTGTCCCGTCGGTGTCCCGTCGGTGTCCCGTGGTGAGATCGACAGTGAGATCGACAGTGAGATCGATAGTGAGATCGAAAGTGAGATCGATAGGTGTCCCGATGGTGTCCCGATGGTGTCCCGTTGTGTCCCGTCGGTGTCACGTCGGTGTCCCGCGGGTGCCCCGTCGGTGTCCTGTCGTCGGCGCCAGCGCAGAACAAACAACATCGTATCGTCATCAACATTAACCCTCGGAACTCAGCAAGCAATCATCACTGCTGGTGTCCCCATGGTGTTCCGATGATGCCCAACGTCACTCATTGCTCAAGTCACTGGCTCAAGCTGTCATTGCTCATTTACTCACTTACTCAATACGTTCGCTTGCACGCTCGTGGCGCCGAGCTGGGCAGGAATGGAACAAAAAGGTAAGACGTCGGGTACCAAGACAGGGTCGACTCCAAAAAGGCGAAAAGCAAAGCCGAATGATGCACTCATGGATGAGTCGAGCGACGTGGGCGAGAATACTATGGGGTTGGCTGAGCAACCTCCGGAGTGGTTCTTAGCTTTCGCGAAGGGGCAGAACAATAATCTCGACACAATCATCGCCGACATGAGCGCTATGAATTTCAAGATCGAAGAGATCAAGGAGAAGACCGTGAACACGGACGAGAGGTTGAATGAGGTGGAAGTGGAATTGGGAAATATAAGGTTTGATCTTGAAGACATGGCCACGCATGATAACATGAAGGACATGATGGAGGGCATGATGGAAGAGAGGTTCAAGGTGAAGATGGGCCAGGAGGAGGTGGCGAACATGATCCAGCAACCGGTGAGCAGCAAGAGCGTTTCGCAAACGACGGTCGCACCACCTGGGCAGCGCCTGAAGTGGGTGGACGGCGACAACAACCCGATGCCCCTGGAGAAAATTGAGAAGCTAGAGCGCACCGTGGTGTTCATAGGCTTTCCGCTAGACGCGCGTGATAGCGACATCATCAACTTCATATCTTCGAACCTGGGGGAGCACGCAGGAGAGGTGGACGGTAAGCCATACACCCGGAAGAAGTGGGGAAAGAGAGAGAGAGAGAGAGGTTCTGTTCGCTTCAAATCTAAGGAGGCCATGGGGGGGTACATCGCTTGGACGAGGAAGGAGGAGAGAGTGAAATACAAAGACAGGGCGATCAATCTTGGACCTGATCGAGGGCCTGTCAATGGCGCCTGGGTCCGGTGTTTGGCAGTTCTCAAGGACGTCCTCAAGAAAAACGGAGTTGTTGAGACATCGATTGAGTTTGACGTCGGCATGGGGGTCCTCGTGGTTAACGACGCGCGGATCGGCGAGCTGAAGCGCGACGGTGTGTTGGTAAGGGTGGAGATCAACAGGATTAACGTGGATGGCATGGGGTGGGGGCTTCAGGGCGCCGGTTTGCAGCTTGCTGTGGATCGTGCCCTGAGGGAGTGACCCCGGTCTGGCAGCAGCTTCCTTTCTCTCTCTTCTCTTGCTCCCCCGTTCGCTCCCCCTCCTCCTTCGCCCTCTTGTCGGAAGTGTCCTTTTCGACAGATTTTTCTGGAATGTCTTGGAATGCGAAAGCGTTCTTTTCAAGTAAGTTGAATTACCAGCGGAGGAGACGCCACTTTGTCGAACGAATGGTTCAGTCAGTCGATGTTATTGGTTTGCAAGAGGTGCATGGCACCCCTGGCCGGGAGCTTGCTTTCGTCCCGCCTTGTGGCACGGAGGTTTTCTGGAGTCATTTCAGCAAATCGCAGGCAGGCCTCGCCCTGCTTGTAAACAGTAGCTGTTTGTCCAACTTTGATCGGCGTCAGTGGCGCGTGGTTGACAAGGGGAGGGCCGCTGTGTTGCGTCTTCGGGGCCCCCCATGGTATTTCAGACACTTGGACTGTGCACTTGGATGTTCATTCGCCGGCTGCCCAGGCATTCGCTTTGGAGAAGATCGGCTGTGCTTTTTCGGTCCAGTCGAGGGCTTGCTCTGTTCTGTTCGGCGATTTAAAAAATTACAGAGCACGCGATAGACCACGTCCAGAAAGCTTCTGGACAGTGGTCTGGCCAGACCAACGCGACAGAACAAAATGCGTTTGACGCCATCCTCCGCCTCAGATCTGGCATGGGGGAATGGTCGCAATATCAGTTCACGTGCGAGACTGGGATTCTGAAGTTTCGCACCGACCGCTTTTATTGCAATCGACGCCGGTGCGAGCTGCTGGACAAACATGTTGAATGTTTTGTTTTACCTCCTCCCCCCCGCCTCTCCGCACATGGGCTTCTTTATTTTGCCCGCCGCAGTGCCGAACGTTCACGCGACAGGAATGACAATGCTACCGTCGCCTGGAATCAGTGAGCCGACTTCGCTGCCTTTGTCCAAGCCGACTTCGACAGAGAAATGCGTCTCACACCGCGGGATCCAGCAATCGACAAGATGACAGTTCTGAATCTGGCGACGCGCCGCGCGTGCAGGCAGTTGTTGCAATACTCTGGGCCCGCATTGGCGAGCGTTGCGGGGGGCAAGTGGCAAGTTGCATGCTGCCGTGGGCCGACCCCGTGCAATTTAGAACCTGAGGCCCGATAGGATTGAGCAGCGATTCGCTTTGTACCCATATCTTCGTTCACTGGCCCCCTCTCGCTTGACTGCCCCTGCTGCTCTCGGGGCCACTGCGTTGAATTAGCTCGCCAAGAGGTGTGGGAAGAGGTGGGGTCTCTCAGAACGCGCCGAGGAACAATGCCAGAATTTGAAGTTTCCGCGCGTTTAGGAGCATCTTTTGCGTAAGCTGCAGCGTCCTCTTCCTGCAGGCAGCTCATCCTGACCTGTGATGGCGTCTTCTGGCTTGATTCGTTTTGAGGTGGGGCCTCGAGGGGTGGCAGATCAATTGCGGCAGCACTGGGGCAATACTTTCTCCCGCCGCACTGTCGACCTATATCTCAGATGCGAGCGCGGCGCCCGAGAGAAATGTATTCTTTTGGCCTGGCGGGCCTGCGTTGCGACGACCCCCGGTGGCAGCTGGAGCTCGAACGCGTCGTCGAAGCAAATTCGTTCGCGCAGTGAGTCTGCTCCTGGGCCGGACGGCACCCCCTACCGCGCCTGGCAGCAAATCGAACAGTTTGCCGGGCCGATTTTGCATGAGGCTGCGGTGGCGCTGCAGGATTCGCAGACGCGCGACATTCTTCCAGAAGATTTTGGTGCAACTTTTTCATGCTGTCTGCCTTGCGGATACGAGTGAGGGTGCAAGGATGGGGGAGGAAGGGGAAGGAGAAGCGGAGCTACGACCAGGCGTTTCTTCAGGCAGTCCGCCTCCCCAGAGCGCCCTCACAGCGTGCCTTCCGAGCGTGCCCCCCAAGCGTGCCCTCCCAGCGCGCCTTCCCAGCGTGCCCTTCCAGCGTGCCCTCCAAGCGTGCCCTCCTGGCGTGCCCTCCCAGCTGCTCCAAAACGTACCAAGAGGCCTCCAAGAACACCCCCAAAAAGGCCCCAAGAGGGACAAATCATTGATTTTCTGTAGGTTTTTGATGCATTCGGGTTCTCCTATTTTCGGCTTCCCGACGCTTCCCAAATCGCCCCACAACCATCCGAAAGGGCTTCCAGGCAGTCCAAAAGAGCACCAAAGCGGCACAACAGGGGTCCAAGATCGCCGTAAGAGAGCCCCATGGCGGCCCAAGATGGCCCCAAGACACCCTCCGAAGCATTCCAAATCGTGACCGGGGCGTTCAGGGAAACCGTGGTTAGAGGGAGGTTGGCCTTAGGAGGCCCCAGAGGCCTCCAGAACACGCCCAGGAGGCCTCCAGAAGGCTTTTAAGAAAGCTTGAGAACCTTGGTGAGGCCCCCAGAGGCTCTCCAAGGAGGAACCTCCGCAAAAAGAGCTGAGGAGGATGGGGAGAATGCCCAGGGCATGGCGAGAATGAGAAAAATATGCGTGGAGGAAGGATAACGAACAACATTATTATAACGGCGATGCCAGAAAAAAAAGGCAGCAAGGAGTTATCGCTAAATTGTCGGCTTGACCTTCCTGCCATTTCCGCTTGCGTACCAAACTTCCAGGACCAAGGTGCATGGCGCGAAGCGCCGCTGCAGTCTTGTGTGTGTGTATATATATACACATGTATGTCAAATGCGGCCGGCGCTGCCGCCGCCGCCGCCGCCGCCGCCCCCGCCGCCGCTGCTGTCGTCGTCGTTGTCGTCGTCGTCGTCGTCACGCCGTCGTCTTCGTTGTCGTCGTCGTCGTCGTCGTCGTCGTCGTGGTGGTCTCCGTTGTGGTTGTCGCCGCGGTGGTCGTCGGTGTTGTCGTTGCGGCGGAGTGCGGCCGAGCGTGTGCGCACCCGCCCGCCGTAGCCAGAGCTGACCGGGCCAGGCGCTGCCCAGTCACGGCGGGGCGGCTGCAAACGTCCATGCGATTCGCCCGCCCCGGCTGCCTGTCGTTCAGCTTCGGTGCAAGGCGGTGCCTGTTGGGCGCCGCGGCAGGCACGGCAGCGGGCCTCTATGCCGCGGGCTGCGGGTGGCCTCTGGCCCGCGAGCCCGTTTGCTTCCGAGCCGCGGCAAGGCGGTCTGCCGCGGCGGCCTGCGTGCTTCGGCTGTGGTCGTCATCGGCGTGCTGGCGCCGAGCTGGCGCCTGAACCCACTGGCCGTGACGGTGATTGCGCCACTGCGGCAATGCGCCAAGGATTTCCGTCGGCGCTGATTCCCCGGCGACGTCTCGCAGGAACCCACGGGCGTCATTGCCGCCGGGCGCGATCGGCGCTTCGGTCCGATCGCCGCCGCGCTCCGCAGCATGTTTCAGCTGCGCGTGGAGGACAGGGATATTCGCGCCCAGCCGCCGGGGCCATCCCGGGCACGCGAGCGGTGCTGCTGGCGCCTCGGGGGCGGCGAGAGGCCCTGCGAGGCTGCCCGGCGTCGGGCCGCCTTCCAGCACCCGGCAGGGGGCGTCGACCGCTGGGCGACGCGCTGGCTCTTGGAGATCGGGACACGCCTGACGCCGCCAGAGCGCTGCCGACGGTGATCTCTGGTGCGGCGTTCGGCCCAGGCGGTTTCTTCCCGGTGACCCTTGGCGAGCGACGCCCCGCAGGCGCTTCAGCTGCGGCCGTTGCACGGCCCCGCCGCCCCAGAGTTGCAGCAGGGGAGGGTCCACGCTTGCACCGACGGTTCGTGCTTCCACCCTGCCGACCCGGTGCTCGCCCGGACGGGTGGAGCTCGCGCCTCGAAGGCCTCTCTGGCGGGCGCCTCGGCAGCCGCGGCCCCGTGGCCCCGTGGATGGCCACCAGACGGCGCAGCGCGCGGAGCTGTGGGCCGCCGTGCACGCGTGCAGCCTAGCTGGAGCGTTGGTGGAGGTCGTGACCCGTTCGCGGTGTTGCATGGCGGCGCGAACCCCACGAATTGGCAGAGCGCTGACCTGTGGGAGGCGATCGCGCCGCTTTGCCTCGCTGGGCTGCTGCGGGCCTGGTGGGTGAAAGCCCATTTGACTCAAACGGGAGCTGCCGATCGGGGCATTTCAGAGGCGGACTGGGCCGGGAACGTCGCGGCGGACTGGTTCGCCGACGCTGGAGCGCAAGCCCGGCTCCCGCCGCCAGCGTTTCTCCGACAGTGCGCGCGGCAGCTGTAGGCCGTCGCGGCGGTCCAGCGCCGCCCGAAGGCCAAATTTTAAAACGACAGCGCCGGCCCAGGTGGGCCCAGGGTGAGGCGACGCTGGGCGGCGCCAGGGCACCGCCGCAGGCGGGCGCCGCAGGAGGGTCGACTAGAAGTAAGAGTGACCCTTCGCCGGAGTGACCTTTGGTGCGGGCGGCACATCTGGGCTCCCCCGATCGCTGAACGCGATGCGATAGTAGCGTCTTGCGTGCTTGTGTTTGGTCCCCCCGCGGTCCCGGGTCACTCTTGCGTGCAAGTGGCCGAGATGGGGGCGCTGCGGCGGTCACCGCCGCTCCGGCGCCGCCAGCGCGGGCGCGGCCTGGGCAGCCCGCGGGCGTCGCGCCTCCCGCGCGCACCTGCGCTGGGGAGGCGGCCGCGGCGAGCGCGTTGTCCGCGGGTGGCGCGTGGCAGCCGCGCGTGGCGGCGCCATGGCATCCCGCGCGGGTGGCGTGCCTGTGGTGCGGCTGCTGGGCGCCGTGCCGGCCACGGCTTGCGAGCGCGCCTGGCGACAGCTCGGTGCCGCCGCGGGCGAGGCTGGTCTGCTGGTGAGGCTGCTCGCGGAGCGCGCCGGCGGGCGCGAGGCAGAGTGGCGGGCGGCCCCGCGCGCTCGCCTGCAGGCGCGGCCAGGCGCCTTGGATGGAGTCGAGAGGCTCGCCCCAGAGCCGTTCCGCGGGCGGCGGCCCGGCCGCCGCGCTGTCCCACTTCTCCCCCCCTGCCCGTCGCCATCGTCGTTGTCGTCGGTCGTTTCCACACCTTGCCGCCGGGCCCCCTCCTCGCCGCCGCCCCTCGCCCCCGCCAGGAGAGCGCCTGCCAGATCCGAAGCCACGCGGACAACGTGGGGAAGGCTCGCCGCCGCGCCGCCCCTTCAGTCGTGCGCTTGGGCGGGGGGGGGGGTCCCCCGACGCAGCCACGAGGGGGGGGTCGTTTGGAGATCGCTCCTCCCTGCACTTCTTCTCCCACCTCTCCTTCTCCTCCTCCTTTCCCCTCCTTCCTCCTCTTCCTCCTCTGCTTCCCATCCTCCCTCCTCCTTCCTCCTCCTTTTCATCCTGCCTCCTCATTCCTATTTCGTTCCCCTCCTATCATAGTTCATCCTGCCTTTTCCTCCTCCTCCTCCTCCTGCCATCCTGTGTGATTATGTGACTGTGAAAGCTGTCATACAAACACGATCCTTGAAGTGGGGATTCAAGGCGCTCCCAAAGCCCCGAGTTCACGGTCAAACGGTCCGAGGGGGACTGATGGGCCGATGCGCGCGTTCTTTGCTGGTCAGACGCTCCTCTTGAGCTTCCTACTACTCGGAGCGCGCCTGGCGGCTACCCGGCTTGAGATTTTACGCCCCGCTTTCTTTGGGTGGGCCCACCACAAACGGGACAGAAAACTACTGGCAGTCCGCTGCCTGGCCTAGGATACATGGAAGGCATGTTGTTTGCGGTCCCCCCCACGACAACTCGGCAAAAGGAGGGGTTGAAGCCTTTGCATTCCGCCCTACGGTTTTTGGTCGGCGCAGTGCATCTGTCTCTGACCTGTCTCCGAGGAGGTGGATGCAAATGTTGCATCGCCTGCGCCCTTCGTGCCAGACAAGGACGTGAAGGGTGAGGGGCCTGAGGGGCGGCCTCCGAGGCTTCACCCGAACCCGACCCAACTCACCAAGCTCCCCAATCGTCTGCAATTACGCAAGCACTCTCCCCATGCCAAGAATTAGGGTCGTGTGCATTTTGGTCGCGAACTTGAGTTGTCCAGAGAGCGCATCATTCAAACCATGGGGCCTAGCAGCCCACCCTGCTAAATTTTTCACAAGCTTAGTACTTCTGACAAACGGGACCTTGCCCGATCCACCCGAGTCCTCACAAAGGTGACCCTTGACTTTGAAGAGATGGGGGGTGCCCGCAGGGCACACACGGGCAACCTCACTCCAACTGTGGGCCTGAGGAGACGGGGGGAGGGGATGTCCTGCACGCATCGTTTTTGCAAGAGTGCTGTGGTTCGCTCGGTGAGGTCGCGCGTGTGATCGCTGCCATCTCGCTGCTGCCTGCCTCGCTCCTGCCCTCAGCAGGGCCACTGCACGGCTGCCCGAGCTTCTCCTTCTCGCGGCGCTACGCCCCCCTCCTCTCGTGTTGCATGCTGAAAGTGGCCACGTCTCTCGTGGTCTGTGGCGCCCCGCACGCCCCGATCTCTCAGCCAAGTCTTGTGGCAGCGCCGTGACCGCAAACGGGCCTGCTGACTTTTGGGCGAGTCGCGCGGGGTGGGGGCGGCGACGTCGACGTCGCTGGCGCCATGCAGCCCTCCTTGGGGCTCTCTTGGGAGCCTCTTGGGCTCTGTGGGGGCCAGGGCTGGGGCCTGGGCCTGGGCCGGGGCCCGGGCCGGGGCCTGCGCTCAGCAGGTGCGTCAATATTTTGTGCGCTTGTCGGGCTCCTAAGTGGCCAAGTGGCCTGCGAGTTGGCGCGAACGGTTGCCCTCGAATGCGCGGCTGCATGGCGTCCCCGAAACCGGGAAAGGCTTCCTGGAATGCCTCAAACGATGATCGGGGTGAACGCAGCAAGTTGCCATCCGAACGTGTTCCTCGAAGCCACGGTGGTTATTGTAATCACACGCACGCGCACCTTTGCAATCGCAGCGAGTGGCATTGTTCTGGACCTGCCCGTGCCGTCGTGCACCGCAGAGGCCATAGCACTACATCGCGGTGCTCGCAGGCATACTGTGGCGCGCGCAGGCGTATTGTGGTGCTCAGGGGCACATTTCGGCGGTGGTGCCTTCTGGACCTTTGTTGGGCCTCGTGCTCACAGGCATGTCGCTGGTACTCGCATGCATGCTGTGGCGCTCGCAAAATGACGCGTTGTTCGCAGGCTATTGCGGAACTGGGCAGTCTCGTAGCCTGAATCAAATATTTAAGGCTTGGGCGCCCCCCGCGACGAGGGCGCGTGGATGTGGATGCCATCTTCTCCACACATGGCGTTCCAGCATCAGGTTGATAATAAGGACAGACCAATGCGAGAGGACAAGGAGGGGCTTAGGAGAAGGAGGAGGATGGGGAAGAGGAAGAGGAGGGACGAGCATGACGACGATATCCAATTTCGGAGGCCCCCAGACGTCCCAGATCTCTCCAGAGGCCTCTTTAAGCGTACAGCGGTTGGAACAGAGTCAAAAGTTCGTAATGTTTTTTCGAGGCTGCTCTTGCATCCCTGCCTCGGTCCTGACCTCAGGTCTCGGAATTGCTTAGCCTGATGCCCGAGCAATCGCTCCGACGTGGACGTTCCGAGGGTCCTGCGGTCTTATTTCTTGTGTCCGCTCTGAAGATTTGTTTTGTCGCTGGAGCTTCTAGTCTTAAGTCGGGCCTGTCCCCCTACAGGGGGATCTTCGACGAAAAATACAACATATCCAAACATAAACAAAACATAATCCAAAAATAGTATGGAGACTATTTTTTTGGTATTTTTCTACCTTTTTTGGGCATTTCTGGAGTATTTTAGTATTTTTCGTCGAAAATCCCCCTGTAGGGGGACACGCCCGACATAATTCTAGTCGCGCAGACCTGCTGGCCACCCCTCTTGTCCCCCCCCGAGCCTCCGCACGCTGGTGACGCAAGCCTGTGGCGAGGCAGGGAGTCATTGCGGTGCTCACGGGCGCGTTGTGCTCGCATCACTGCGGGGCTCACAGGCACGCGGTGTGGCTCTGAGGCTGTTGTGATACTTGCTGGCTTGCGGCAGTGCTGTGAATATGAAAGTGATTACGTTGCACTGTTCTGGAACGTCGAAGGCCCCTGGAACGACTGCCAGCAGCCTCGGGTCTTGCAGAGAGAGAGAGAGAGAGAGAGAGAGAGAGAGAGAGAGAGAAACAATAGAGCTCCGAGGGCCTTCGGAAGCGTGTGATGGTGGTGGTGGTGGTGGTCGTCGTCGTCGTCGTCGCCATCGTCGTCGCCGTCGCCGTCGCCGTCGCCGTCGCCGTCGTCCTCGTCGTCGTTTGTCGCCGTCTTGGCATTGGTCGATGCGCATCCAAGTTTTCGCGGGCGCCGCCGCCACAACCCCCCGCCCTCCCCCTCGTTATCGCGACACCACTTTCACCCCTCACCCCCCTTCCCCCCCGTTCCCCAGGGCAGCGGACGCTGGCGCGGGGAATATGCAACGGCTCTCGATGCATACGTACATTTCGTTTCATATAACGCTTGCGCCACATACATTGCCCCCTGCACAGCAGGCACGGTATAATTCGTACCACGTAGCTTGCCATGCGTAGATGGCGCCATATATCATGCATAACCTATGTGTCACCACATAGCATGGGATACATAAGTTGCACCGCGTATGCTGCAACACACAGCATGCACGCACCACACATACCGCAACATAACATCAGCATGCGGTGCATATTTCGCACTACTTCTGTTGCACCGCATAGCTTGCACTACATAGCTTGCGCCACATACAGTACACCACATGGGTTGGAACCCATCTATTGCACATCCAGGGTGTAAGAACTCGCCGTAGGGAGTCCACGCTGGCAAACATATGATGTGGGCAGTGGCGGGTCCATGGCGCAAGCTGATCTGATTGTGCAGGCCTGTCACGATGCAGCTGGAGGCGTCCAACAGAACAGGGGTTCCGCAGAAGGAGTATCTATACTTCCACCATGCCTGTCCAGGGTCATCGTGAGCTCTGGTATGGCGGACTAGGGTGAATACGCACTTCTAGGGCCTAGGATGGCCCATGGCCAGGTATGGTGGAAGATGCTTTCTGCGCGTATCCAGAAAGAGCAGGGAAGGAGGGACCCGGACTTCCCGCGGATCGTTTTTTTCAGCCCGCGGACCCCAGAGGTCTCGATTCCTCTCCCAGGGGCAGCTTCTGCCCCAGACCCCTCTCTGACGGCCTCGTGCCGAAATCCAGGAACGACATGGCGGGACTGAAACAATGAATCCGCCCGCAGTTCGGGGAGGAGGGAGAGGAGGAGGGCAGCCCAGACGTCCGCCGATGTTGATCCTGCGGCCCCCGAAGCCCCGACCAGGGGAGTTTTACCCCGTTGACCCATCTTTGGAGGACAGGGGATTGTGGAGTATGCGGTCCTCCTCCTCCTCCTCCCTCTCCCCCTCCTCTCCTCCTCCTCCTCCTCCTCCTCCTCCTCCTCCTCCACCTCCTCCTCCCCCTCCTCCTCCTCCTCTCTCCTCCTCCCCCTCTCCTCCTCCTCCTCCTCCTCCTCCTCCTCCTCCTCCTCCTCCTCCTCCTCCTCCTCCTCCTCCTCCTCCTGGTCTCCATCTTTGAGGGCCCCTGGGCCCGAGAGAACGGCCGCCCCAGGGCCTGGCTCGAGCCCGTCTTCGACACGCGACTGGCTGGGGCTAGACTCGCCCATTGGCTTTTCTGGCAGCTGCCCACGAGGCTTTCCACGCCATGAAAGATCACGGCCTGAGGTCGGAAACTGGAACCTATACATTACCAGCGGCGGGCTGCTTTTCACCCCCAGGACTTTTTTGAGGGTCGGGGACGACGTCGGGGTGGTGTGGTGTATACTTGTTTCCCCGTTTTCCCGGGGAAAGGCGCAACATGTGTACACCAGGATCCCGTATACACCAGAATCCGCGTTCCTGTGTTAATTTCAGCGCAGGGTCGGGAGAAGAATTTCGGCTTCTGCATGGATCATTGAAGTAGTTTTCGGAAATGGCGATTTGCACAAGCTTGCCATGGGAGGCACATTTCTCGAGACCTGGACAGACTCTTTCTCTGCAGAGGCAGCAGCATTAGCGGAATGCACGACAGTAGTGCGTAGACTGGCTGAACGTTTGGCACATGCATGATGAGCACCCACAGCGAAGTGTCCGGCTAGTCTAGGTAGACTTCAGGCCGAAGGACGAAACGAAACGAATGGAGTTCGTTTCCCGATTTGGCAGCTGCCCACGAGATCTTCCCCGCCAGGAGGGAACACGTCCTGATGGGGCGGGTGTCCGCCAGCCGTGCTGCAGACTGCCAGCTGTGCCGCGCGCCGCGCGAGCGCGCGCGCCTCGAGCTGCCATCTCGACGGATCTCTCCCGGGGGTGACGTCGGGCATGTCCCTCCCGCTACACCCTGTCAGTGGTTATTATTTGGATCGCATGTGTCAACAATTGGATTATGTTGTACTTCAGTTCTTCTTTGGGCTGGTGTCTTCTATTCTCCAGGTACGCTGTCTACATATATGTGGGATTACATTACATACTTACGTAATTGCATGTGTTGCGTACCATAAGTGGGGACCGCCACACAACGGTCGCCGCAGCTGTGCGAGCTGCGTGGTGTCCTCGTACGCCTACGCATTGGGGACACGGATTGGTTATTCCCCCAGGCGATGCTTAAGAAAACTTCAGTTTTTGGCCAGAGTCTCGATTATTCTTACTGTTTCCATGTACATCCGAAGATTTCCATAGGAATTCTGGGTCTTGATTCAAATTCCGAGACTCTGAGTTTCTCAACCCATGCTTTCTTAAGCACTTCGCAGGGTGTACATCGCCGTGGCGAAAGTTTCTGTCAATTTGCCTTTTGGAATGACGCGCTCGTGCGGAGTAGTTCGGAGTAGCTTTACTAGAACTACTCCGCGCGCAATCGCACCCCGCTCGATACTTTATATGGTTTGGCGCGGAGTAGTTTCTGATCCCGTTTTGGCGTAACATATTAATTAACGTCTCCGGGATCGGAAATTACGCCGCCGAATGATCCCAGCATCATGTCATGTTAAGGAATCTTGGGAGGGATGGGAGAGATCTTCACCATAGCAAATTGAAGCAACTTTTGTCACGGCTGTGTACAGGCGGACTCTACAAAAGTAGTTGTTCAGAAAGTACGGGGGGCGATGTTTCGACGATCTTTGACTCTGTTTGAGTATGCTTGGACTATTCTTGAAAGTGTCTCACAAAACCCACGTCCAGGAAGACATGCCCGACCTAAATCCGGGGAGAGAACCGCTGGCTGAATACAGTCGGGGCCCGGAAGAAGGAACCCTTTTTGTTGGGGAGGGGCTCCGCGTTCCTTACTTGTTTCGCAGCTGGCCCTGGATTTCCTCAGGTTTTCGATGCGAAATCGAAGCTCAACTTATGGGAAAAAGGGGCCTCGTTCCTGATTTCTTGGGTTCCTCAGGTCAACGCCCCGACTGTAGGTTTCTCACAAAGCTCACGTCCAGGAGGACATGCCCGACCTAAATCCTGGCATCGCTCGGACGTGTGCGTTTTTTCCTCGGCGAGGACCATCGAGGAGCATCCTTGACCATTTGGCGAAAAAACCACGCACGAAACCGAGAAAAGCACAGGGAATGGACGTCCGAGCGATGGCCAGAAATCCAGGGAGAGAACCGCAGGCTGAACGGATCAGGCCGTCGGAGGGTCTGCCAGCGCGCGCGCGCCCGCCCCCCCCCCCCCCCAGGAGCACCGCCGCCGGGCGGCGGCGTGGCGCGCCCGGGCGGTCCAGCGCTCGCCCGACAAGGAGTCCGCACCGCAGGGGGGCGCGCGCGCCTCCTTCCCCTCCCTCCCTGCCATGGGCAGCTCCCCCCCCCCTTACAGTCCAGGCCTCCTAGATTCGGCGGCGAGCGAGGGGGGGAATTGAGAAGGAGAGGGCCTTCTCAGAAGGCGGCGGGACTTCTCAGAAGCCCTCGCGCCTTCTGAGAAGCTTTTTCTGTCTTCGGGGAGGGCTCAGAAAACTTCTCAGAAGTCCGGGGGACTTCCGAGCCTTCTGAGAAGGCACGCCCCTTCTCACTTCCCCCCGTGGCTCGCCGCCTATAGATGGGGCCGGAGTAGATGGGGTCGGAGGATCGCGCCGCACCGCCGATGCATCGCCGATGCGGCTCGATGTGCAGCCCGATGCGCTTCACGTCGATGTCGCCGATGCATCGCCGACGTCGACGATGCATCGCTGGCGCATCGCCGATGCATTACCGATGTACCGGCGATGCGGTGCGATCCCACGACCCCATCTACTCCGGCCCCATCTAGGAGGCCTCTATGCAGTCGGACCGAGGTACAACCATGCTTTCTCGGAGCTCCGCGCGGACTCTTCGGATCGGCGCTGGCTCCCCTGGCGGCGTCTCCGGCGCCGCCCCAGGCGCGCTTCGATCCCCAGGGAGGGGGGGTCCAGCGCCGAGTCAAGACATCCGCGCGGACCTCCGAAAGTTTCTGCTCATGCAGTTTTCTGTTCCCCTCGTACAGTCGGACCGAGGTCTAAGATCGAGGTCGATTCGGGGAGGGAGCCTTAGTGTTCTTCGTGTTTGTTGGATGATGTTCTCGTGCGTCCTGGGGAGTGTACCCTGGGCTGTTCTCTGTGTGTGTTGGCCGGCGGAGGGTCTCATCTTCGTGAGGGGCGTTCTTTTGGCCTAGGTCCGCCTGTGCCAACCTGAGACAGGTCCCCGTCCCTAAGGGTCCCCTCAGTCTCCGAGGGCGCATCTCTGAGGCTGTCATCGCCTTTGGGCTCGCTAATGTTAGGGATGACGGATAAGCTCGAGGCAGGTTACCCCTTTCCGATGCAGGGACGTGTCCATGACCACTGCCTGCCTGGGGGCTCGATCTTCGGGGACCTCGGCAGGCGGCGGATACGGATATGTTCGGGGCTGCCCGCCCAGATCCCCGAAGATCGAGCGCACCTTGGCATCGCTCGGACGTGTGCATTTTTCCTTCGGCGAGGGCCATCGAGGAGCATCCTTGATCATTTGGCGAAAAAAACACGCACGAAACCGAACAAAAACACAGGGAATGGACGTCCGAGCAATGGCGAGGCACAGTCGGTGGTCATGGATGAATTCCGGCACCGCGCCCCAGCAATCTCCGTGTTGATTTCCTTTGCAACCTCCTGTGCCACCCCCGGTGCCTTACCTGACCTGGTCCTCCCTCTGCCATATTTTGGCCGCCGCGTGCCCAGCGAACACTCTTCGGCTCACGGTTCGGGCACGCGGCGCAACGATCGCATCGCCAGAACGTTTCTTTGGCTTATACGCAAAAACGGTTGTCCCAGTTGTGAGCGTGGACGCGGCATCTGCTGTGGTTGAAGCGGCCTGCTCGGTCCTCTCCGTGCTCTCGGCAGACGGGATCTGTACATGTCCACTGCCACTAGCCTGGCCAGGACCAGTGTATATGTATAGAACTTGTCGCCCTATACTCTTGCGTGTGGTGCAATTCCTTGGGCCTCCGCCAGCTCAGCACTGGGTGGCGGTCACCAGTAGCGCTCTTCGGCTCAGCGGGCAGTCGGCTAAGCGTTCAGGGCAGCTTAGCTACGAGCATCCCTGATCTGGAAGCCTTGCGGATCCAAGTGGATTTGGGTCGGCCCGTTCGACATCGTGTGCTGCGCAGCCGGGCCACTGAACCTGGCAGAGGGGCTTCGCATCCTTGGATTGTTCGCAAGGTAGGTGCTCTGATCTCTCGGTTTGCTGAGGGAGCGCTTGTGTTTGCCGTGAGCAGTGAGTGGTGTCGGGGCCCACGGGCCCCGCCGCAGCTTGTACTGCAGGCACGGCAGACAAGAAGTCAGCCTGCCAGCAGCCGTCCCACGATGGTGTCTCATCGCCCGAGGTCCCCGAGGGGGCCCACAGACGCCTCAGATCTTCGCAGGATGCTCAACATCGGCGAACAACTAGGGGAACAATGAATGACATACAGTGGAGGCCCATGCCAAGAAACATCCTGCTTGCCTCCAGGGTTCCCTGGGTTTCTTGGGTTTCGATGGTTTTGCTGTGGAAGGCGTGACGTTCCCACACCAAAACTCAATGGACGTCCTGGGGTCTCAGGGTTGGGTTTCTTGTGGAAGGTTTCTTGTGGACTGGCCTCCACTGCAAGGATAATTATCCCGGCGAAGCAACCTAACAGCGATGTGTATAAGCATATCTGGAAGCATTCCCCTTAAGATTCAGGTGAGAATCCAGTTGTAGAATTCTGCGGTTCTCGCAGTCGCAGTCGCATTCGCAATGACAGTCGCAGTGGCAACGGCCTTAGGATCCAATGGAATCCTCAGGATTCCTAGGGATTCCTAAGGCATCCTGAGGCATCCTCCGGAATCCATAGGAATCCTTAGGAAACCTTAGGAATCCTTAGGAATCCTGATTCCTAGGGATTCCTAGGGATTCCCAAGGATTCCTGAGGAATCCTGAGGATTCCTAAGGATTCCTGAGGATGCTTAACTATGCCTACGGATTCCTAAGGATGCCTACGGATTCCTAGGGATTCCTAGGAATTCCTAAGGATTCCTATGTATTCCTACGGATGCCTCAACCTGCCTCAGTTTCAGCCTCAGCCTCAGCCTGCCTCGGCTTGCCTCAGCCTCAGCCTCAGCCTGCCTCGGCCTCAGCCTCAGCCTGCCTCAGCCTCAGCCTCAGTCTGCCTCGGCCTCAGCCTGCGTCAGCCTCAGCCTCAGCCTGCCTCAGCCTCAGCCTCAGCCTCAGCCTCAGCCTCAGCCTCAGCCTCAGCCTCAGCCTCAGCCTGCCTCGGCCTCAGCCTCGGCCTCAGCCTGACCCCTCCCCCCTCCCCCCCCCTTCCCCCCCCCCCCCATTCAGCCTCACCTTGTCTCAGCTTCGGCCTGCCTCGGCCTCATCCTCAGCCTCAGCCTCAGTCTCAGTCTCAGCCTGTCTCGGCCTGAGCCTGCCTCGGCCTCAGCCTCAGCCTGCCTCAGCCTCAGCCTCAGTCTGTCTCAGCCTCAGCCTGCCTCAGCATCAGCCTCAGCCTCAGCCTCAGCCTGCCTCGGCTTGCCTCGGCCTCAGCCGCAGCCTGCCTCGGCCTCAGCCTCAGCCTCAGCCTGCCTCAGCCTCAGCCTCAGCCTGCCTCAGCCTCAGCCTGCCTCAGCCTCAGCCTCAGCCTGCCTCGGCCTCAGCCTGCGTCAGCCTCAGCCTCAGCCTGCCTCAGCCTCAGCCTGCCTCAGCCTCAGCCTCAGCCTGCCTCGGCTTGCCTCAGCCTCAGCCTCAGCCTGCCTCGGCCTCAGCCTGCCTCGGCCTCAGCCTGCCGCAGCTCGGGCATTCAAAATATGGCACAGGACTTGTGTTCTGGGAACACGCAGATCACGAAGTGGCCCACAGTTGGCTCCGGGCAATCAAAATATTGTACAGGAATGGTGTTCTGGGAACACGAAGAACACGAAGTGGCCTACAGTTGGCTCTGGGCATTCAAAATGTGGCCTGGGAATGGTGTCCTGGGAAACACGAAGTGGTCTACAGTTGGCTCCGGGCATTCAACATGTGGCCTGGGAATTGTGTTTTGGGAAAACGAAGAACACGAAGTGGTCTAAAGTTGGCTCTGGACGTTCAAGATGTGGCCTGGGAATGGTGTTCTGGGAGCACGAAGAACACGAAGTGGCCTACAGTTGGCTCCGGGCATTCCAATTGTGGCCTGGGAGTGGTGTTTTGTTGGCTCTGGGCAGTCAAAATGTGACTCCTGGCAGTGAAAATGGGGTGTCCCCGGATTCCCGCGGCACCCGTCCGGCATCTGCCCAGACCCCCCTGGGGAGTCATGATGCTTTCCCAGAGGTCTTTCGGATCACTTAAAGTGATCCGATGCGTTTTGCTATGTTATTACATATCAAACACACAAAGTGATCTGATATAGTTGACACATATCAAAAGTGATCCGATACATTGTTCAAAAACAAGGTGTGAACGATCCAAAGAAAAAACACATAAAAACAACAACATGCCCCAACACCGTTGACTCTTCCAGAGAGAATCGTGAATACACATTACGGTTTGTTTGATGTTGTGTATTTGGGGCGATTCTTGTAGTGTTCCCCTACAGCGACGCCGCCGTATCGTCCACCTCCCCCTTCTTCAGATGCTGACGTTCCTCCGCCTCCTCGGTCTGCTTATGCTGTTGCCGTCCCACCTCCTGCAGCCGTTTTGGCTCGCATGGGCAAGACGAGAGCGTCCTCGCCACCGATCACTTACGTGAACGTTCCGAGGAGTCCCTGGCAGACGCCAGTGGGTAGACTCCTCAGGCGCATGTCGACTGCAGACATCGTCGACCGAGAGGCTGAGATCGCGATCGTCGACCGAGAGGCTGAGATCGCGAGGCTTCGCGAGCAGCTGCGCGCCATGCAGGAAGAGAACAGCACGTTGCGCGAGGCTGCGGCAAGCCAGCCGCCCACCGACGTCGAGGGCAGCCAGCGCCACGACACGATCGTCGAGGGTGAGTCCCAGGCGGCGACTGGCGGCGGTGAGGCAGGGATTGCCGTGATCGAGGTCGCCGACTCGCTGAGCACCGCGGCGACAGTTCCAGCAGCCGCCGACGCGGGGGCTGATGACGAGGATACCGAGAGCGCACAGGAGGCGCAGGAGGAGGAGCTGGAGAAGGATGAGCTGGAGATGGCGGAGTCGGAGAAGGTTGCTAAATCCATAGATCTGGATGACCTTGAGCATGCGCTCTGGGACGAGAAGAAGGAGGAGATCGAGGCTGCGCGCAAGCAGGAGGCCGAGATCCTCGAAGCCAAGAGGTTGTCCCTCGAGGAGAGTGCCAGGCAGTCGC